CTATACTATATTAAATGGAGATACTGAAAGTTTTTGCGTGAGTATCGACTTTGGAATGGAGTCTGAGGAGCCGTTTGTATTTCCCGTCACTATGGAAGCGGTAAATGCCATCGACAGAAGAGTGGCTAAGAGGAAAAAATCGCGCGCGCGGAAACATTTCCGTTCCACTCGTTCTTCTACAGAATCTAAACGATCTCAGGTATCCCTTCCCGCTAAATTTGGATCTCGTAAACACTCGAAAGGCAACGGTGTTCGTGAAGTTATATCAGATACTCGGCTGTAAATTTCATGCTCGGGAAACTAAGTTCATCTGAAACCGCTAACTTGCGCTGATGTGACAAGAGATATGTGAGCACATTTCTTTTACATTTTCAAATCTAGGAGGACTATTGTGTTATAATAAAAAAGTATTAAAAACGATTTAAAATTTGCAATTTGAAGTTCTACTGTCTGATTTTTAAATTAAAGATCTTCTTCTTTTTTCTATTTTTTCGCACATTCCGTTCACATAATCGTTATAGTGAGCGGCGTAACCGGTCGATGTGCGGATGAACGCTGAATGAATCTTTACCTAGATACAGGTGTTCACTCTCATTCGGTCGGCGTGCAAACTCGATAGCATGAACGTCAGCTTACACGAGAAGAAAAAAAAGAAACAGGGACATAATGTAAAGATCGGAGGCCAAATAAAAATCGGAAGAGAACACCGAAAAATACTCGTCTTCTGAGGGTTTGGATGCCAAAGAGCGCCTTTGTCGTTTTAAGAGTGATTTTGGCCTTTTTTAATGAAGGGTCGATGATGGAACGAATAGGGAGACTACTAACTGTTTGGTAACAAATAATAAAAATAGCAGTGGGTTAACGTATTCCCTTGTTTCTATTATTGAGACCCTGTTACAAAAACTAAGCGCATTTGACTAGAAACATGTCACATTGTGATTCGATCATATGAAGACCAAGACAGCGATTACAATTTTGATTTTGGACATTTATTACACAATTCCACTTCTTTATAGCAGTAAAGCATACAGCTTGTTATGCCACTAAAAATCTATATCACCTTTATCGGCAATGCCTTCACTTACTTTTTTTTTTCTTAATGGATTACCATTTGCCTATTATGATAACATTCACGCTACAGTTCAAATAATACTAACTTTAATCAACCTAACAAGTAAAGTTGAGCATTTTTTGTTATTAATGTCACATAGAATTAAAGTTACAATAACCATCGACTGATTCACATTCTCACGGACCGTCTTCGCTTTTTTCGGAAAGATCTAACTAGTTCTCAGTTTTTCCCGACTGAGTGCTTGTCAATGCCTCTCGTGCTTCATCTGTCTCCATGATGACGTCAACGTTTCTCTCGCCTGGCAACAAGGCAGGGTCGCGTGATGCTTCAATAGTCAGCTGGCCCTCTTTTGACAGGCATGAAGTCACGGAGCTGACAACTATGTCGTCGGGAAGCAGGAGAGTGCGACTGTAATCACGTGACCGGTAATTTCCGCTATCTTCTGATGTGTGTTTCCCGCTGATACTCAACTCATTACCATGGAGTTGAATCTTGATCTCTTCTGGCTTGAAGCCCACTGAAATCAAACTTTGCCTCAAATTTTCCTTCTTCTGTTTTCCCCTCCACTCGTTTTGTGCCCTCGATTATAAGGGCGTCGCCATTTTGGGTAGCGCGTGACGTAATAGCAGTTGGATCGACTTCTTGTGGTAGTTTGAAGACTCTCTTGAACTCGCTTGTATCGAATCCATCTTCTCTTTCTGATCGATGCTTTCCATGAAGGATCACATTGTCATTATCAACTTCAAGAGTGATTTCTTCAGGTTTGTAGTGATAAAGTGGAACAAAAGCAATCTTCACGGCTCCCTTAGGGGACAGTTCCCGTCTCCTACGACGGTATGACTTGCCGACTTCTTGCCCCTGAGCCAAGGCCATCTCTGCCCATAGATTGTGGAAAACATCGTAGCCTCTAGGTACTCGGTTTAAGTAACTGAAACGCAAAGAAAATTATTTATTTCCGAATGAGTGAAAGAGCAGAGTCGTCTATGAAGTACAGAAATAACTTAAAAGTATTCCACTCTTGTCCAATCTGGTCCAAAACAGGCCTTGTTCTTTCCAGGGAATTATCATGGTGACTTTTCACACAGGGAACTGCTTCAAATCATCAAAGAGTAAGGGCTTTTACCTTGATACCACCTAGCCTATCGATTAGGCTGAAGCTGAAAATTTCTCGCTGTACTTAACCCCAAAGGGCAGCATTTAGCTTAAAGAAATAAATTTGTGAAATTTTTTCGTCAAAACTTCCTCTGAAGTTCATGTGCAAAACTTACCTGCACGAACGATAGGTTGGAAACCCGAAAACTAGAGCCATACCACTTTTTTTAGGTTGAAATTCTTCTTTGGCTTCCTTCCGTGTTTAGGAACCTCTTTCTTCCTGAATCTCAGAATCTTTCTGTTCGAACTGTTGATTGCTCTGCGAAAACCACCTTTATGTACCTGTTGTCTTGCTTCTAGAATGATCTATTGTTGCTAAAATGAAGGATCTCGTAAGCGTCTTTGCATTCTGGCGAAAGGCAAATTTTTGCTTACTGATTATGACTGAACGAAAATGATTGTATTCTGGGCAGTTCTGGGTCAAGCCAGAAATTTCTGGACAATGCGCTACAGTCTGACATCAGGAAGGAAAGAGACGCCGGGAGAAATCTGACGTCACTTTACAAATGGCGGATAAGATGCAGAGACCATTTCGTCCACTTGGCTGTCCAGTTTGGTGATTTGACACATTTTATTTCTCCTAAAGGGATCTTTGTCGAAATACGTAGAGCTCGGTTTGTGAATACATGTCCTAAACAACGAGGAAGGTATTTAGTCGAGTGGCTTCACAACCATAAAAATTATATGCTGATCGTTTCAAGTCAATTTAGACGACAGTAAAGAATTTATCGGCCGTTTCGATGGATTGTTGTAAAAGAAGTATAACTGACTATAATCAAGAGTGTCTTACAATTCCATCTTCCTGGTGAAGGTAGTCCTCTTCTTAACGACCGAGTGTTGGTCGACATATTGGCCCACACTTGATCAATACTGCTTTTAGGAATCTTTCACCATACCACTTTGTGATGTCGTTCAAGTAAAAGCTATGCAATAAGTTGAAGTATGACTACCTTCTTTATCTAAATAAAGCAAAATGAAATAAGATATGGTGAATAAATTGTCTCAAGTATAGTCAGCGCAAGGAACTTAAACCCCTTGCAAGGGAGACTGCATTAATGGCAAATTACTCATTTCCTAAAGATTAGAAGTCTTTTGTGCTCTTCCTGAAATTAAAAATGCTTGATGCACGACAAACTAAGTAACATGTCCCACATGGCAACAATCCTACTTAAAACATTTAATCTCATAGCATCATTCTCTTCTATGAGGCTGCAATTGATGTCAATGTGTCTTAGTAACTATGTTTCAGATAAGCTACAGTAAACTTTACTGTCAATCTTTGGGGTGTTTGAAAGATTCTCCTTGCAACATGCACAAACTGTGCACATGGTTTATTCTCCTGAACAAGCATTTTAAACAAGATACAATGCACCTTCAATATGGAATAGGGCCCTAATATTACTACTAACAATAAAATACCTTTCTGCAGTATATTATATACAGCTGTTTATAACAATTTTTCAATTTTCTACAGCCATCTTAAGGCACTTTAATGAAGACCAGTATACATTAAACATTAAACCTGGGATACTTAATGATGAACTACATATTCTGTATTGTAAAAGAAAGTTTTTGAGAAATAGTCAGACAACCAAATCACTACTTCAAATATTGATCAATAAATTAAAGAAGTTTACTTTCAGTTGAGAATGGGCACATTATTTGCACTACATTCCTTCCATTGCACTGTGTACAAGTTCAGCTTGGCATAAATTGAATTATGCTTGCTATACATTGGAGTCTAGCTTCCACCAGAGAAACAAAAAGTTTTCAAATGCTTGAGAAATTAATACACAAAGAAAGTCTATTTTTCAGAATTATCCTACCTAAGTATCATGCAAGAGTATAGAACCTTAGGAAACCTATTGAAAACAGTGTGAAGAATATGCATACTGATGTTTGGGTGCAAAGGGTTAAAGCTTCAACAAGCCTTTCAACAATAATCAAATAAGAGGCAGCTTTCTGAAGTATTTCAGAGCATCAGCTGCATGTTGGACTCCAATGTTATACACTGGGTGTACAGGAGCTAGTTTATTATCCTGGCCTCCCACTAATGTTAGTTTAGTTTGATACTCATTGACAAAGTGCTGTGCCACAGATAACCCACTCAAACAATAACAGGTGTGATAAAAGTCTCGTGATTTCCCAGGTTTGTCAACAAGTCCTCCATGATGAAGCTGACAATTCATTAACAAGTAATCTTGAAGGGCTACCTGATCAAACATCCATTTCTCATTACTAAGTAAATGCCCATTGCCACTAGCATCAATGACTGTATGAAGAAGAGGAAACACCCCTCCCTGCCAAAATGAGTAGCAACCATCAACTAATTTGTTTGTTCTTCCTTGAAAGCCTCCTTCCAACCGCATCTGACGCCGAGTGACCCATGTGAGCAGACGCTTGTTATCAATCAAGTGGTGCTTGCCTAGCAACACCAATGCAGCATAGCCACAGAATGTGTAGCCTCCATGAGCTTCCAGTCCAGGTTCACCTGAAAATCCACCCTCATAGGTCTGGCACTTAGCAATCCATTCTGCTGTCCCTTCAAACAACTCTGGAGTCATAATATTAGTTAAGTGTGCTGCAACTACTGCACAATATGCACCACGAATGTCCACCTCACCATCTTGATGCATCGTAAAGGAACCTTCTGCAGTGCGACAACTTGCCAAAAATGCCTTCAACTTGGGCCTGTTGATGACGTCATATGCTTGTCTTGTTCCCACGATGCATAGCGCGCACACAGCGGCATAAGTGGGGGCCAGATGAGGTATTTGCTGGGGACCCCCACAAAAGCCACCATACGGATCTTGACAACGCTTGAGGAAATCAGCCGTTTGAGCGTATTCTTCCCCACCTAGTTGTACGTTTAACATTTCAAGACCATGTAATATCCAGTAGCATAGCCAAGGTCGACTGGCGTCCAAACATTCGTAACTTTGAGAGAGATCGTGAAGGCCTCTCTTGAGGTACTGAACATGCTTCTGGCGATACAGTGATAGGTCGGGATCAAGATTGGAGACTCGCATGTAGGCTAAATAATTTCTTGCTACCGAGTTTTCCACCTTTTCTTGTTCTTCGGAGGTTATAGTCGTAAGACCGTCATCTTTAAAGCGCAGATCTTCCACTGATTTAGCCGAGTGGTAGGCCATTGTAACTTGTGTTGCGATACTAGATACCAGTTTTCTCGCTGTAGTGAAAATGGGCACGAGAGCCAGTCTTTGTGACGTAAGGAGATAGCCATATATGGCGAGACAGAAAAAACATACACTAGGGTGGCGCGCAGTTTGCATCAGCTGTTGGTGTTTCATGCCTTTAATGTACACCGGGTTAAAATTTACGAAATGTCAGCTCTGAGAGGAATACATAAGCAAAGGAGTCTTGAGTCGATGAGCTCTTCTTTTACTGCCGTTTTCACTTCGGTTCGTGCGCAACAAAACGAAAAAGCTGTGAAACTTGCGTTCTATAACACGGCTGCTCTGGTTTTCGTGTCCCTTAGTGGATGTGCTGCAGTTGCAGTTTATTATGTTTTAGAACCTTTCTTACGTCCTCTGCTATGGGCTGGGCTGTGTGGCGCTTTTTTATATCCTTTTAAGTGGAAATTGACGCAGATAGTTCGAGGATTTCTTCGTTCTTTGCGAGAATCTCACACTCCATTAGTGCTTGGTGCAATGGTGATACCTTTTCAGTTGGCCAACAAATCGTCAGACGTAGTTGGGTCTTTTGTCGTACGAAGGAGCCGTATTTTTGCCATATTTTGCCTAACTGCAGTTATTGCCTATGTTTTGTACATTATTAAGCCATTTTATGAGATTGTGTGGATTTTAAAGGGATCTGGAACAGCTGTTCATGGCCTTTTGGACTTCTTTTATAATCCATATCTGGTGAGCAATTTTGCTCATGCTGTGATTCGTTTTTGTTCTTGGTTTATGTTTTTCCTCCTTTATTTCTTGCAAGGTGTTTTAGTCGAGGTTTGCATAGAAAATAACCCACTGAACCGAGACAAAACTAACAGAAAATTTTTATTATTTCCAGATTATATTTTATGCCTGTACCATTTGCTGGAAATATTTGTGAAATTAAAGGATAGGTCTACTCCAGAAACCACATAATCTTTATCCTTATTATTAAATCATACACATGATATTATGACAAAGGTCTTCAATTGTGCTGAGCACAGATGAGGCCAGTCAAAATCTCGCCAAGCAACCTGGCATTGACAAGTGCCTTATCAATTGTTCACTCTTCTCTTACCCAAATACTGGAATAACAAATGTAAATATTTAATTCTGGACAATTCATCTTACTTCTTTATTCTATTGCTTTTGTCTTATGGACACCAACCTTGTCATTAACAAAATTATCTATCTTGTATTTTAGGTCTGGACTGTTATAATTGGTTACATTTTAAGTCTGATATTCCTCTGGACACCAAGCTCCTCTGGGGTCATCTCAATGTTTTCTCTTCCTGTGTGGATTATGTTTCTGCTTCATCTTGTATCACTCACTGGATCTTACAGGATTCTATTTTTTATGCTTCTTGTAATCTGTTCAGTTGTTGGATGTATTACAGGAGTCTCAGAGGGGCAAGATCAAGGTAAGATAATTTTTTTTTTCAACTATCTCATGGTAATTGTTCATCCTCTTGACTAACAGCCTCTTCTACTAAGGGAAATGTGTACCTGGGTATCCAGAACTTTCACTGTGTCCAGTCAGCTCCCTCAACCTTGAAAACCTCATTTTGACTGGCAAATCTTCGCAACCCATTAATAACCTCCAATATCAGGAACTGGTCAATAGTAATTAGAATAGTAAAAGGGTGGGGCTGGATGGTTGAGAGCAAAAAACCTACAAAACCACTTACAACTGCTGAAAAACAACCTCTGCTATATTTGCAATGTTTAAGAAGAGGCAATCTTAATTTACTTTTAGGCAGACAAGCACTAAGAGAGTGAACAAGGATTGTATTATTACTATCTGTATGAATCAACATTACTAGTAGGTGTAATACAACTGCTTTAATGAAAAACATTGCATAGGCAGGCTTCTAGATTGGAAACAATACTGGTGCCTATGAGACTGAAAGTTTCCTCCTGGTGACTAAAAGTTCTGGTCAAGTTGCCACCTTGGTGACTAGATGGTGAATTGGTGAATTAAAACATAAACCTCGTACAGTCAAGTTTTTCTTCTGTCTTGAGAGAAAAAGGCAGCTGGTACAAACAAATCCTTGGACTATTTTGTCTGGTCTCAACAAGTCCAGATAATCAAGGTTCAATTGTACTTAGCATAAATGACTGATAATTTCAGTAGACTGCTAGGACAATTTATGAACTCAACATACCTAAATCGCTCAGATGCACCTGGATGATAGCCCACAGTGGAAATTTCACATAATGGTGAACTAAGCATGCAATGGCTGGTAGTTGACTAGGATCCTTTAAGGCTGACCCAGAATTTCAAGTAGCTACTTACTTTATTACTTACAGGTACTTACAGATGCAGATTTTAGATTGGTGATGAAAATGTTAATTATTTCAACCATTTTTTCCTATGTAGACACCAAAAGGTGATTAAAAAATATATTTAATTCTGGACCCTGATAGGTGACCAGATTTGAGAGGGTGATTTTTCACAATATAGCCTTGTTCAAACTGTTATAACAGCTTGATGATAGTTGATGACAGTTTCAACTATCATCAATTATCATCTACTATCAGTGACATTGACTAATTATATTTTTATTCAAACTGTTCATGATATTTGTTGAAATTATGTAGTTTCAGTAAATTTAATGCAGGATGACTAAATTCAGGGTATCATATAATGTGCAATGATTAGATATTTTAAACAGTCAAAGACTGGATGGAACTACCTCATGTAGTGGAAAGAGTTAAGTCAAACAGGAAGGGTGTGATTAAAGGTTTGACTTCATTAAAGGTCTTTTATTTTTGTTTTCCAGTTGATAGTAAGAAAGTTGGGGAAAGTAAAAGACATAATCTTATGAGACGCCTGTCAGTGGCAGCTGCTGCTCTGGTTACCTCTTTGCCAACCTCAGATTCTAATGAATCCTATAATAAGGATAGCAGAGGGTCATCTACAAGCCTTACTACACCTCCGTCAGCCACATCCCCCAATAGTGATGAAAATGGTCAGGATTCTGTAGACGGAAAAGTCTCTTCAAAGCTTCGAAGGGCTAAGATTTGGAGACCAAAGCAGTCAATTAAGATTAAAGAAGAAGCAAATTGTGAGGGAAAAAGTCATGTTTATTTTGTGGCTCTTTTCTGGGGAATTTTTCTCTCAAGACTGTGGCTTCATTGGGACTTTATTATGATTTTCATAATACCAGTCACACTGTATGGTTTAAAGCAGCTTCTGGCTTACTGGAGCTCCTCAATCTGTTCAAGTTCTCCAGCACTCTATCTTCATTCTCTATGGAAAAATTTCAAAAGTTGGACTGATGAGAGGAGACCAGCATTGGTTCCAACCCCACTTAATGGATTGTTCAAAGGAGGAATGAAAGTAGATCGTGCTGTAAGTTTACAACTTTTACCAACATCCTAGACATGTACTTCTACTTAATATGAGTAATAAAAAGGTATATAATTGTGTTTCTGTAGATTACACCCCATGTGTTAAACTTAAGCATGAATTTAGGTCTCAATTTGATCTGTATTTTTCTCTGTTCTGAATTCATTGTCTTACTGTTAATCCTTACACTGAAAAATGCCTATTTTGAATCATTTTAATTTAAATTCCATTTTAACCTGCAGCATGTGCAATGGCTATTGAAAGAAATAGCAGGTGGTGTTCATTGGCTGTAGGCCACGATATAAAATCCATATATTTAAGTACATATACGAGAATGCTTTTTTATCAACTTTTTGAAAGCACCACTTTATCCACTGTCAGACCACCTATAATGTCTCTTTTGGTGACTAATGAAACTGCTTTGTATACTGTACATTACATTTTCATTAAAATGTGAAGTTTTCCCATCTTTTATTTGTCTTTTATTTTTATCACAAATGGTACATTTTATTTGCATGTTAATTGGCAAATAAATTTAAATATTACTTCATCAAAAAATGCAAAACAAAAACAATTGATAGAAGCACCGAAGGCTACATTTTTTCAAGAACATTTTTAAGAGTAAGAATGATTGCTCAATCTGTCTCCTCTTGTTCACAAATGTGATTTATATTTGAAATCAATTATGTTGCATTTTAGATCAACAACATAATGGACAAATCAATGGAAAACATAATAAGTATCTTTATGGTGCTGTTCCTTTTTGTGGCATTCTCTGTCATCACAGCCTTTTTTGCAGTGAAGGTAAGTTCATGTCCATCATTCACAATGCACCAGAGCATTGCATGAACACATACTCAAATCCCCAACAATTTTTTGTTCATTTTTGAGTTATTTTTTTTCCAAACCCCAAAAAACCCTTTATGTTAGCATAGATAGTGGTATGTTGCTCGCACTCATCAGATCGCAGCATAAGGGTATTATCTCACACCAATCAGATTGTTGCTTTAGGGCATGTATCTTGCACCAATCAGATTTATATTGCTGCATCATATCATAGCATTTGAATATCCTGCACCAATCACAGTGTTTAGGTATCATTTTCTTGTAAATGATGTCATGGATCACAGGGCTGTGCACTAAGAATGACATTGACCAGAAATTCTGAGCTCATTTGATAAGTGTAATCGTCTGTGGCCTTTGCGAGGGCCTCACCGATTAAAGTGGAGATTTATTGGTATATGAAAGGTACACATAAATTTTTAAGTTAATAATGTTTTTTCCACTCCTTTACTCACAACACACATGCCAAACAACTTACATTCCATTGCGTACCATGAAAACAATGTCCAAAGTCTGATCAGAACAGACCTAATCATTGCACTACATGAACATCAGGCAATTTTCCATGTGCTTGAATTGACTATCACCAATCAAATTTCATTTTGCCACATTGGACTTTGCTCTGTCACATGTCATTCTCTTGTAAACAACCTGCATTTTATTATGTGTTCTAACTGCATTGTCCAACTCTATTGAAAAAAATTCACATGGAATTAAATGCTACTGATATTGAGTTTTCCACGCAATTCTCCCGCGTTTGACTTTTTTTACAAATTAAAGTCACTTTAAGCTACCTTGGACTTAACCAAATTGTGTATTAATTTCATTGTAAAACAACCTACATTTTATCACCCATTTCACATATAGGGCAAAGTCCAGATAGGCAACAACCAATTAGGAGCCTTCTTTGAAATATTATCCTTTTCTCTTGATCAATGTATCTTCACTTATTGGAGATTGCAATATAGCTCTGGTTAGGGTCTATTAGAGGAACAACAGAGTTTCAGTTTGCCTTTCATAGTAAAATTATGCAGAATCATATTTTTAAGGTAACTAACTGTAGACAAATAATTTTGATTTTCTCTCTGCTGGAGTAATGGCAGTAAGCGTAGTCTCTTTTACAACTGTTATGTGGTCTTGTCACACAACACACACTCTCCCAAATGGGAAATAGAGGGCATTGTGTGACGAGACCAAACAACATCTGCAAAGGAGACAACAGTATAAGTATATGATAGTGATGCATTCCATTTTAATGCTGAAGTATTAAGACAATAGAGATAGTATATCACACAATATCTGTGTGAGTTCAGATAAATTAGGATTTTTTTTCCTGTCTTTCTGCAATCCTTTCGTTTTTTTAAAGTTATGCTATTTTGGGTGACAAAGATGAAAACATAAAGGGCATCTATCTCACCCACCAAGTATTTTGCTACGCATGCCGGTAAAAATCATCCAACTGTATTTTTGGCCTCTATCTATGGTCAATTTTTTATTTTAGTTTGTAAAAAATTTTTTTTATTTTATGTGAACAATTTTTTTTATTTGACCACTTCTAAAATTCCATGACAAGCCTTAAGTTTCTGGTGGAGTTGGGTCAAACAAAATATGCTACAAACTGACAAGTAATACTTTATGTCTTTCATCAGGTTCACCATGAGAGTGCACAACTGGTGTCTGTAAGTGCCAACTTAGTGAACAAAGTGATGGCTGACAATCCTCAGCTTGTCAAGTAGGTGCAATGATTCCTTTGGTTAAGTAGAAATAATAAAGTATTCGTGTTGTTCACACATTTGTTCATTATTAATGTTATTGAGATTAAATTTGGTTACCTGTCAAACAGCTGGATTCAGGAAAATGAGGAACTGAAGAAAACATTGGGATCAACTGTGGAGAGATCATACATGCATGGAAGAAAGTACATTGCTGCCAAGGTGCATGCAAATATGTTATACTTTATAGGAATGAGCAGGCTTGTGGAAAGTATTAGAGGTACATGTGAGTTACAGTCAAATCTAATGGCAAGCATGCTGGATTCTGTGTTTAGACATTCAGTTGCCTGGTTATTGTGCTGTTTTCTTGGGTAAGAGTCTTTATTTTTGCAGTACATGCCTCTCTCCACCTAGGACTTTAAATATCTCAGAATCCTGAGGAATTGCTGAGGACAAATGATCACAAAAATGACAACAGTCACCAAAGCCATGAAATTCCCTTTCAATCCAAGATTTAAATAATAGTAGATCCAAAATGCTGGTTGTTCATTAGAGAGATCAGAAGGACAAGAGGATTCACATTGTACCTTCAACATAAAGTGAGGATGTAGTTGTGATTCTGCTCTCTGATTTTGTTCACATCTTCCTAATTTAGTAGTTGTAGAATACCTTATTGTTGCCACTGTTTAGGTTCAGTCCATGTTTGGTGACAGCAATTCCAGTGCACTCCAAGAGGAAGTGCTAGACTTTACTGATCACATTTATCACTCATGGATTAATTGGGTAAGTCTACTTTGACTGCGAGTTATGAATGTTAAGTTAATGTCACCAAGGTTAAAAAAAGAGATGAAGAGATGAAGCATATTACAGACCATATAGTATTTCTTGGAAATGAAATCATGTAGATTGATTTTTAATTCATTGGAAGGATACAATATGAAAAGTTAACACAAAAACTAATTTAAAAACCTGTATCATATAGATCGGTTGTTAAAATGGAATGAATCAGAAAAACAAGTGACCTCCCCCTCCCTCAACTAAAAAAAAATAAAAAGGATTACCTTGCATCCCTCAAAAATACCCTACACAATGCTTTTGTATAAATTATGTGTACAATGAAAAAATAATCAGTATATACAAAAGTACACACGTTATTTGTCCTTCTAGGGTAATACTTCTACAACAAAGGAATTATCAAAGAATGGAACACTTACAACAGACATACCAAGCCACAATAACATGAGTGCAGCTATCTCCTGGAAAAATGTCATGCACATTTTTAATGTGTTTGATTTTCGAGTATCTTTCTCCTTGATCAGAGAAAATCTTGGCACTCTCATTTCTGTGAGTAAATTTTGTTACTAGCATTATTTTTGTCAAAAGTTGATAGCATTTAAAATCCATTTTTGGCTTTCTCTTTTGACAAGGTATATTTTACTGAGTTGTTTTAAACAAGTTGCTCCTTTTAAGTTGTCTTACATGTGCATAAATATCTTTTGAAATCTCGCTGATTTTTTCATCATCAACCTTAATAGGCCAAAACAGGCACTTTTCTGCAATGGCACAAGATAGTGATTTATGTAATTTAACAATAATTAGTAAAGCACACCTGCAGCAGTTTGAAGAGTTTGTAAATAGTATTTTAATATAAAGCTAAATGACAGTGTACTACTGTGACATCTTTTTCAGCTACTGGAGTCTGTTTGGATGTTTTTCAAGGGAAACATCAGTTTTGCCTTTAACCTTGTTACTACAATGTTGTCCATTGTGTTCTTCAGCGGTGCATACCTTCTGAACACTGGCATATCAATGGTAAACGAAATCGCTAATGCTGTCATAATTTTGACTATATGTAGTAGTTAAATCAATGTTAATATTGAGAGTAATAACATTGTAAAGTTGATCATACAGACAATTATCCTTAATGTACAACTACTGATATTATCACTAAAATCATGGGTTTAATGGTTCAATTACTTAATTTGATCACACATCCAGGGAAGAACTACTTCCTTGAAATTTTCAGTTTCATATCCTCTCGTATAATTTGGATACTCCAGAAAAGAGTTCAACATTTTGTTACATATTATGGTACTAATAGTTTATACTTATTGTGTCCAATAATTATGATATAGCTATCACACCCCACTTACTCTCTTATATATAACTGCTTGACAACTTAACCGCTTTTCAGCAACAGAATTGTAATAATCTCATCCTGTTCCAGATTATTTTTGTCACTGCATTGTTTTACCTGTTGAGTACCTCTGGTGAACAGTACAAGCCTGTTGAGTGGTTTGGCAAACTTACAGCAACTGGTACATCTGGGTTTGGAGATTCTGCTTATGGAGCCATCAGGTTAGTCTGACTTTACAAATGGATATGTAAGTGATGACTGGCAGCTAATACAAGCCTTGCAATTGTGCAATCTATGACAATCCTAATGTATCTCAAGTTTAGAACATAATAAGGTGAGAAAGACTTTTAACAAGATAACCTTAATCAGTATGGTCAAGTATTATCAAATTTTTCAAGGTGGTGTTGTTTCTTGAAGCATGAGATTAGAAACAAAGAAAGTGAGCTAAATTACTGTTTTTAACATTTTTTATTTCTCCTTCCCCAAGCTATCAAATATGCTAAGGCCAAAGCAAAGAAAAAGGTTGGAAAATGACGACAATGTGAGCCGCAGTGCTGAATTTTCAAAATTTTTTATTTTACTCTGTCAGGTCAACTTGCAATTATTTATTTTTCTTGGTTTGAGTATAGTTACAAACTTTAGGCAACAGGTAAAATTTCTCACTAAAATCACAATTAACTGACATGAGAGTGATCTTTATTACTTTGTTTTTCCAGGGATGTATTTGGAGCAGCCATTAAAATGGCAGCCTTTTATGGTGTCTACACCTGGTTGACCCACACCACATTTGGTGTTAACATTATATACATCCCATCAGGTAGGAAGCCAGACAAAAGAGCAATGAAAACAATCTAATTTATAACATAAATGTCCCAAGAAGATGCACTTCTATGAAGTAAAAGTAGCACAATGTTTTTTTAAAATGCCCACAACATTTTCAACCCTTAAAATGTTTCCAAAACATTTTTTGTAGCTAATTGTTCCTTTAGTGTGTCACAACCAATTTCCCACCCAAGCCTCTATCAGTAAAACTTTAGAATTAACATATGGCGAATATCTTTTTGAAGCAATCGCAGCCATTACAGCCGTTGTTCCGTTTATTGGCACTTATTGGGCAGCAGTACCAGCTGTACTTGAATTGTGGTTAATCCAGGGACAAGGAATAATGGCAGCTGTGTTAGCAGTCTGTCATTTCTTACCCACGTACTTTGTAGATGTTGCCATCTACAGTGAGATCAGTGGGTATGTGCTATGTATCTTTTAGAAGCTTTAATTTGAAGATTACATGCTCTTTTTGTGTAAAGTGATGTATCTTGTCAGCATAAAGAGGGAGGGAAGACTTCTAGTGGGCAGGGATTTTTGACAAACAATACTATCAAACAACAGATTTTTGAATAAAACTTTAAACTGATTTGCACCTCCTGTATTCATCATTTCTCTCCTGATGCAAAATGGTCTGTGAATGCAATTCCAACATGTTCATCCCAATACATATATAAGATCTGATTACCCTATGCTGCTTTTAACTAATGGTAGCATATTTACCACCTTATATTTGATATTTGAAACTCTTTAAATAATCACTCCCTGCTCCTATCCAATTTCTTGAATGTTTTCCTTTTTTAACAGTATTGTAAGACTCCTAGTTTGTGGTTTATCTATCCTGAGTAGTAAATCTAAACATGGTCTAAGACCTTCAACATTATTTGTATTTACATCACTATATATTTCTTATGGCCCATGTGTATGATATGACACAGTTTATGACCTGTGAAAACATTTCTAAAACATAAGCTCAAGAGGGCTTTACTTGATGGCATAGGCTGGGCTAGAAAAGGCCATTCAGCCATGCAAAATCAGGGGTAAAAGAAAAGAGGAGTTACTTTAGTCATATGAAAAATACTTTTTGTCTCATTTAGGTGGGGTCAAATGGGAAAATATTTGGCTCCTTGTCATGACTTACTGACCTCTGGGCTTGGTTCTTACATCATTACTGAGAACCAAACATTATCCCTTTCTGTCCTGACACTCAATCACAAACACAAGCCATGTTTTTTGTCTGTTTTATGTTTGTTTGATGCAATTCATGACTGCTTTGCATTAACAGTGGAGGTCACCCTTACTTGACTGGTTTAGCTGTGGTTGGAGGTATCTATTGTGTTGGGCTGGAGGGAGCCATCATGGGACCAATAATACTTTGTTGTTTGATAGTCGCATTCAATGTGTACAGCCGTATGCTTGGTCACAGCAGTCCTGTACCTGATCCAGAAGTTCCATCAGCCACAAGTGACATGCAACAAAGTACACAACACTCACAGCATAAAGATGATCAAGAGGGAAGTGGCAAGGCTCTGACAGTCTCTTAGATCATAGCAGGAAGTTATCAATTTTAATTAATAAAGAATGTTAACATAATATGATGTTAGAGTACTTTAAATTTTGAGAATAAACATTGAATAAAATCATAACTATGATATATGCCAGAAAATATTGCAGATCTACAATAACGGATCAATAAATCAGCTATGAATGCTTTAACTCCTATGAGTGACCAAGACAGAATGTCTGTACAATATCAGGCAAACATGATGAAAGTGATGAAAATGAAGAAAAGTATCAATTAAGGGATTATTAGTTGATCCTAAACCAAATTCCCAAAACTGACCACATCAGTATTGTATGGTAGGCAGTAAGGAGAATTGCTATTAAGATCTTGGGAGTAAATGGGTTAAATCAATCAATCTTTAATTGATGGTTAGGAGTGAACACAAAATCATTGTGTGAAAGGGAAGAGTCCTGATATAATGTTTGTTTTCATTCTGACCAAGATTCTAGCTTTCAAACAGCACAATTGGATACATCCAATCAAATTTGGTGTCAGCTTTTATAATTGATTTTCTTGTGGAGGTACCTTCAGGGAAATCAAAGGAAGAACTAATGTAATGCAGTTGAATATAACCAAGTGGAAAAAAGGTATTTGAACAGAGGTTGTTTTTTATGTGTGTATTTAAACCTTTTCTGTGATTTTCTTCGCAAGATAAAATTATACATTAAATTATTAATCATTCACATTGGATAAATTTTGGAATGGGATGGTCTACCAGTCACTGAAAAATGAACTACTTAATAAATCTTTTAAAATCTTTTCCAGACTTTTATAACCACTGATTTCATAATCCAAACTCAAGTAAGGTTTGATTCAAGAAATAAGGTATGTTCAGGGGAATTTTTTTCGAGGGTTTACCCACAAATAAGATATTCTTCATTCATACAGAACAGATTTTGGCAAAGATAAATGCATTAAAAGAAAGATATAGATGGTTTCAAAATAATAATCATAATTTAAGTTGGAAAATGAGTAGAGTGATAACAGTTCTTACAACTGAAAAAACATTTTAGTTTTGCAAACTGAAAATGTTATTACTGGGATACCTGTGGTAGCCCAGTCATAAAGTGCCTTGGTTTTTTTGTCGTCTTTTTACTGGGATACCTGTGGTAGCCCAGTCATAAAATGCCTTTGTTTTTTTGTCGTCTTTTTTTTTTTTTTTTTTTTTTTTTTTTTTTCCTCCGCCACAAAATGGAAAAATTGCGCAATAGTACCCAGAGGTCATTGGGCCCTCAACACCATGACAACTAACTGTGATCCAATGAGGTGTTCACATACTGATCACGCGTGCTATCTTGATGATGATTGACGTTGTCATGCCCGGACATGGCCGGGTCACATGACGAACACGAGATTTTTGCCCATAAAACTATTTTGACAGTCGTTTTGTATTTCAACGTAATTGGATTACGATCATCTGGAGCATTATGGGGCAAACGCTCAAAATACTTATAGACGCATACACAATTCGTATTGTTCGCGGCCAATCCACACAAAAAGATGTTATTGAGCGGTACGGACAGAATCGCGAACGCTTGAAAGCCATGAAAGCATTGAATGCCTTGTATGTCTTGTATGCCAAGTATGCCAATGTCTTAGTTGAAAACGTAAACTCGTTGTAAAAAGCAAAATCTGAAATCTGAAACCAAACTGCATATACTCTATGCAATCTATTGAACAACACTACTACCGTGAGACTGAAGAACAAAATTCAAATGGATGCAAACTGCTAGTGAAGAAACATGTCATGTTAGATTCACTTGATGCCAGGGAACGTAGCTACGATAACAGTGCGAATGGTATTAATTTCACGATCAGAAAGGTGAATCTTATGTTTGTTTTCATTGTAGTTGTATGGATATTCTTTTTTAATAAATACATGATCCAAAATCCCGTGTTTTTTGTGTATAATGTTATTATGTCAAGTATTGTTTACGCAATTGTCTTGTCACAGGCGACCCAAGGTCACGTTTCGAGAAAGAGCCAACGATTAATTCACGAACGCGTCACGCGTTGTGTGACTCAGAGTAAGTTATTCTAGGAACCGTTGAAAATTTGAACACGTTATAAGGAAAAGTATAGGGAACGAAATATGGTCGATTTATAACGATAAATATTTCGAAATATGAAGATTTTTCTCGAAAAATCAATAAAACTTACTCATACCCTGTGTATCCGTTGTAGTTTCTGGCGATTGTTGCCGTTTTAAGCTTGCTTTACCATCACTATTATTCACGTCATCTACTTTTATTACATTGGTAAAATCTGTACAGACATCACACCAACCAACTCGCGCGCAAAGTAAGAAGACTATGTTGAAGGCTTGAAATTATATTACGATCGATTTTCATCAAGAAATGAGCCAGGAATTTTCCACAATAGTGCAAATAATCGTGAAGGCTGATCGCGGAAAAGCGATTGCGTGACGCTCGGTAAGCTGTAAGATGACATGTTATTATATACCAGACGTAAAAACTCTTCAGATTCTCAGTCTGCACTTTGTACTCACTCTGCAGTCTATATTTTGTATCCGGTCTGCAGTCTTCTGTCTACATTTTGTACTAACAGGTATCCGTGGCACAAATACAGTTTATTTTTGGTTACATTTATTCGCACAACACACATAATCTACCACAAAATACCTGTGTGTGAGGTAATTCGACATTTTCATTCTTTCCCGCGTTAATAATCTTCTTTCCTTTTGTAAGAATGTAGACCACTTACAATGTTTCAAGTAATCCACCCACCCTACAAAAAATAACTCTTGCATGCATAGCATGGCTATGTTTTGAGACAGGTGTATGCCCTTGGCCAGACTTGAGCTCACTATTTCAGTATACTAGTCCGACACGCGTAGTATCACTACACTTGATTCCACGGATCCAGTACCATCCAGGTATCCCAGTTACCCTGCTCACAGGGTCTAGTTTTTTTTTTTTTTTTTTTTTTTTTTTCCTCCGCCACAAAATGGAAAAATTGCGCAATAGTACCCAGAGGTCATTGGGCCCTCAACACCATGACAACTAACTGTGATCCAATGAGGTGTTCACATACTGATCACGCGTGTTATCCCTCAACGCCATACCATGACGACTAACTGTGATCCAATGAGGTGTTCACATGGTGATCACGCGTGTCATCTTGATGATGATTGACGTTGTCATACACAGACAGGGCCGGGTCACATGACGAACACGAGATTTTGGTTATAAAGCTCTTTGGTCAGTTAATTTGTATTTCAACGTATTTGGATTGCGATCTCCTGGAGCACTATATCGCAAACGCGCAAAATACTTACAGACGCATATACAAGTCGTATTAATCGCGGCTAATCCACACTGAAAGATGTTATTGAGCGGTAATTTTGAAACGGATTGAGTCGCGAACGCTTGAAAGCCATGAAAGCCTTGAATGCCTTGTATGCTAAGTATGCTAATGTCTTAGTTGAAAAACGTTCACTTGTTGTAAAAAGCAAAATCTGACATCTGAAACCAAACTGCATATACTCTATGCAATCTATTGAACAACGCTACTACCGTGAGACTGAAGAACATAACTATATGGAATGCAAACTGCTTTTGAAGAAAGACGACATGTTGGATTCACTTGATGGCAAAGAACGTAGCTACGATAACAGTACGAATGGTATTAATTTCACGATCAGAAAGGTGAATCTCATGTTTGTTTTCATTGTAGTTATATGGATATTCTTTTTTAATAAATACGTGATCCAAAACCCTGTGTTTTTTTGTGTATAATGTTGTTATGTTAAATATTGTTTACGAAATTGTCTTGTCACAAGCGGCCCAAGCTCACTTCTTGAGAAAAAGCCAACGATTAATTCATGAACGCGTCACGCGTTGTGTGACTCGGTGTTAAGTTACGAGAGGAACTGCACGTTATAAGGAATAGTACAGGGAACGAAGTATGGTCGATTTACAACGATACATACTTCGAAATATGAACATTTTTCTCTTAAAATCAATAAAACTTACTCATACCCTGTGTATCCGTTGTATTTTCTGGCGATTTCTGCCGTTTTAAGCTTGCTTTACCATCACTGTTGTTCACATTGTCTACTTTTATTACGTTGATAAAATCTGTACAGACATCACACCAACCAACTCGCGCGCAAAGTAAGAAGACTATATCGAAGGCTTGAAATAATATTGCGATCGAATTTCATCAAGAAATGGGCCAGGAATATTCCACAATAGTGCAAATAATCGTGAAGGCGGATTGCAGAAAAGCGATTGCGTGACGCTCGGTAAGCTGTAAGATGACATGTTATTATATACCAGACATGTTATTATATACCAGACGTAAAAACTCCTCAGATTCTCAGTCTGCATTTTTTACCCACTCTGCAGTCTATATTTTGTATGCGGTCTGCAGTCTGCTGTCTACATTTTGTACTAACAGGTATCCGTGGCACAAATACAGTTTATTTTTGGTTACATTTATTCGCACAACACACATAATCTACCACAAAATACCTGTGTGTGAGGTAATTCGACATTTCCATTCTTTCCCGCGTTAATAATCTTCTTTCCTATTTTAAGAATGTAGACCACTTACAATGTTTGAAGTAATCCACCCACCCTAGAAAAAATAACTCTTGCATGCATAGCATGCCTATGTTTTGAGACAGGTGTATGCCCTTGGCCTTGACTTGAGCTCACTATTTCAGTATACTAGTCCGACACGCGTAGTATCACTACACTTGATTCCACGGATCCAATACCATCCAGGTATCCCAGTTACCCTGCTCACAGGGTCTAGTTTTTTTTGTTTTTTTTTGTTTTTTTCCTCCGCCACAAAATGGAAAAATTGCGCAATAGTACCCAGAGGTCATTGGGCCCTCAACACCATGACAACTAACTGTGATCCAATGAGGTGTTCACATATTGATCACGCGTGTTATCCCTCGACACCATGACAACTAACTGCGATCCAATGAGGTGTTCATATGCTGATCACGCGTGTTATCCTGATGATGATTGACGTTGTCATGCACAGACAGGGCCGGGTCACATGACGAACACGAGATTTTGCTCATGAAACTCTATGGTCAGTTGTATTGCATTTCAACGTATTTGGATTGCGATCTCCTGGAGCATTGTAGCGCAAACGCACAAAATACTTACAGACGCATATACAAGTGGTATTAATCGCGGCTAATCCACACTGAAAGATGTTATTGAGCGGTAATTTTGGAACGGATTGAGTCGCGAACGCTTGAAAGCCTTGAATGCCTTGAATGTCTTGTATGCTAAGTATGCCAATGTCTTAGTTGAAAAACGTTCACTTGTTGTAAAAAGCAAAATCTGAAATCTGAAACCAAACTGCATATACTCTATGCAATCTATTGAACAACGCTACTACCGTGAGACTGAAGAACATAACTATATGGGATGCAAACTGCTTGTGAAGAAAGACGACATGTTGGATTCACTTGATGGCAAGGAATGTAGCTACGATAACAGTACGAATGATATTAATTTCACGATCAGAAAGGTGAATCTTATGTTTGTTTTCATTGTAGTTGTATGGATATTCTTTTTTAATAAATACGTGATCCAAAACCCTGTGCTTTTTTTGTGTATAATGTTGTTATGTTAAATATTGTTTACGCAATTGTCTTGTCACAAGCGGCCCAAGCTCACGTCTCGAGAAAAAGCCAACGATTAATTCAACACGCGTTGTGTGACTCTGTGTTAAGTTACGAGAGGAACTGCACGTTATAAGGAATAGTGCAGGGAACGAAGTATGGTCGATTTACAACGATACATATTTCGAAATATGAACATTTTTCTCGTAAAATCAATAAAACTTACTCATACCCTGTGTATCCGTTGTATTTTCTGGCGATTTCTACCGTTTTAAGCTTGCTTTACCATCGCTGTTGTTCACATCATCTACTTTTATTACGTTGATAAAATCTGTACAGACATCACACCAACCAACTCGCGCGCAAAGTAAGAAGACTGTATTGAAGGCTTGAAATAATATTGCGATCGATTTTCATCAAGAAATGGGCCAGGAATATTCCACAATAGTGCAAATAATCGTGAAGGCGGATTGCAGAAAAGCGATTGCGTGACGCTCGGTAAGCTGTAACATGACATGTTATTATATACCAGACGTAAAAACTCTTCAGATTCTTAGTCTGCATTTTGTACCCACTCTGCAGTCTGCAGTCTATATTTTGTATCCGGTCTGCAGTCTGCTGTCTGCATTTTTTACTAACAGGTATCTGTGGCGCTAATACAGTTTATTTTTGGTTACATTTATTCGCAAAACACACATAATCTACCACAAAATACCTGTGAGTGAGGTAATTCGACATTTTCGTTCTTTCCCACATTAATATTCTTCTCTCCTTTTGTAAGAATGTAGACATCACTCACAATGTTTCAAGTAATCCACCCACCCTACAAAAAAGGAACTCTTGCACGCATAGCATGCCTATGTTTTGAAATAGGTGTATGCCCTTGGCCAGACTTGAGCGCACTATTTCAGTATACTAGTCTGACACCCGTAGTATCACTACACTTGATTCCAAGGATCCAGTACCATCTAGGTATCCCAGTTACCCTGCTCACAGGGTCTAGTTTTAGGGATAAAATAAGTTGCTAGTCACTCATAGGGGTCACAGAGTTAACTCATCTCAGCGAAGCCAGCCAATTTAAACCAAAATGGAGCTTGTGAGGAATACCTATTTCTTTTATTCCTACTTTGCTGAAGGAAAAGAAGTAATTAGTCATACTTATGTAACGCTTTGCTACTCCATCCATCTCAGGAAATATTAGGATTCTTGAAAACGACTAGAAACCAGTTTATCTTCTTATAATATTTTACAACTAGAGAGGACTCCTATGGTAATTCACAAATAGTTATCATCTGGACAAGAACTCTCCTTTTTCTTGCCTTTGTCTCATGTGAATCTCTTCTCATCAAGAGCTCAGTTGGTACAAGCCAAGAGGATAAGAGACTGCCTGCACTCTCAAACTCTTAATGAAACAAAACTTGTTATTAAATGTTTCCTTTGGGACAAGACTTGTCACTGGCAAGTGAAAAATCTCTTCTCACCAAGAGCTTGGTCTAAGCAAAGAGAGAAAGAGACTGACAGCAGTCTCAGACTCTTGATAAAACAAAACTTATTAATGTGTTCTTTGGGACCAGCTTAATGCAAAGCAAGAGTAAACAAGTCTGCCAGCAGTATCAAACTATTGATAAAATGAAACATGTTATCAATGTTTTCCTTGGGACCAGACTTGTTGTTTCAAGTCCAATTCTCTTGTTGCCCAAAGCTTGGTCCAAAACAAGAGAAAAAGAGACTGCCGGCAGTCTCAGATTCTTAAACAAAATAACTATTGCTGTCCATGCCGACCATGAGTGATATCATATTCACCAGTGTTTCTGATATTCCTAATACTTCCCTTTGATCTGCAGGAACTGATGTATGGGTCATTATTGCCCTGAAAATAAACCAACAAAAGATCCATGATTTTCATGAACTTTTCTTTCCATTCCCAAGTCAATATCTTTTCAACCAATCATTCTTACAGTCTTTGCTAGTTGTTTTAAGTGCATGCAGAACTTATAGTACCCTTGCAAACTGAATTCCCAGTTTTCTGGGAATTCCTAGGAATTCCTAGGAATTCTAAAAAATTCCCAACTATGCAAATTAACTTTGATCTAAAAAGCTTGGAATTACTGGGAATTTCTGTGAAAGGAAGACTCCAGTTTTGTGAGGACTTGGAATTCCAAGGAATACCTAGGAATTCTCAGCTATACAAACTACCTAAAATTTAAGAAGGGTGGAATTCTTGGGAATTTCTGGGAATTGAATTTGAGGCAATTTAAATACCCTGAGGTCCACAAAAATTCTAAGAAATTCTCAATACCTTGAATGCGAAGGTTTCAAGAAAAGGAGTAATTTCAGAGGCTTTAAACTTTGGCTCAATAAAAGGTATGCTATACAAAACTTACCAAGAGATATACATACATGTATATGTTTATAACTTAAAGATCATGAAATTTATTAATCAAACTAAGTTTTAGTAAATCATTGATATTGATTTTCTCATGAACCAGCAATCAATTATGTTAAATGGAAATTGCCAATTAATTCAATGTACTCATATCACAGATTTGCTTTCTAACCTCAAAGGACTCTTGGATTCCATGATCATAAAATATTTTTATTGTGATGCAAGTTAATGTCTCATGTTCACTGATGTGCCAAAATCATCAAACATTCATTAGCTGTTCCTTGGTACACAACTTCCACAATAATTAACAATAATTACATTGTTATCTACACTTAAAGAACTTTGTTAGTTATGAACATAAGTTACTTCCCTAACCTACATTACTGGTTGCCTTTGTTAGAAAAACTTGGAACAGTCAAGCTCAGTAGCCTCAAACACTGTCAGAGAATTTTTGTTGATATTATTTTTAGTAGAAATTTCATGCCTTAGACAAACAAATTCAACACCTAATTAATCTTTCTTTTTTCATGATTGTTGTTGCTGTTTTTTTTTTTTTTTTGGTTTTGTGCTCTGTTTTCGGGACTAATTGCTGTAATTTGTTTTGCTGTTTTTATTCTTGCAAAACATTTTTGTAAGAGTTCCAATACTTGTGGATCATCCACACACTTTGCAAACATTTGGCATGCAGACAAGACAGAGGTAGTCAATGTTCCCTTTTAGAACAAACACCTTTTAAATGACGTCTTCAATTTACTTTATTTGAAACTCTGATCTGAAAATATTTGTCAACAAGACTTGTTAGTAGTGAGAAGTACATACCAAGTTTCCTTTCATAACTTAATTTCTTAAATGTCTCAATCACTGGATCTCCCAAAAAATATTACATCTTTTTATTTTTGGTGCAAAATACAAGTCCTTCTTTATATATTTCAATAATAACAGCTCTTAAGTTTACTTGTTGTTCTTCTCTGTCTGTCAGCTATCAACAAAATTGTTTTATACTTCGGACAGTGCATAACTATTTTTGGACTAGAGTTCCAACGCACCTCTATAATCGCATATAGTTACTTCTGTCTCTTGAACAAATGTTTCTCCTTTATAAGACGCACTCTACTCTGTTGTCACCACTGCTTTAAGTTCAGTGGAAACGACTGACTGAGGAATCGAGATGGCGGTGTTGGAACGTGTTACTGAACGCTTGCTACGGTCAAGCTTTGTAGATTTAGGCACTGGTACACTGGGATCATCTATGTATCTCTTTTACTTCCTAATGTGGTATCCTTCTTTTATAAATGTGAGGGTAAAAGACAATTTGTAGTCGCATTCAAAACTGTGATTGGCTTGTGTTATTTCTCACCTTTGCCATGAACACAACTCAAGTGAGTTTCGAGTCTTTGTTTCCTCGACAACTTTCGGCCACAAATCGTACATTTGTAGTACGATCGATTCTTGTCGATTATTTCCACATAGAGTGAACTCACATCATTATTTATATCACCAAGGTATCCATCGTCTAGAAGCAGAGAACCGGTCTTAGAAGTCAGAATGAAGTTGTAACAATCGGCAAGCCAGCGGATTCACTTTGCTAGCCAATGACAAGTTCTAAAAGATCCACGTGATCATGCCCGTGGTCAGAAACAAAGAAGACTCCATTTGGCGCTCATCTTTGAATGTACTTTTCATCGGTTGATCGCTTTTCTCAACTGTTTTGCTTAGTATAACATTTCTAAAGATAGCTTTTATTTTGGTTCAATGGGAAAACGAGAACAGCGTGAGTGTTGTAAACAAATAAGAAAGCCGTTGGTGCCGTGGAGTTAAAAGAAGGGACAACAGTTGACATATTGACTGGTACAAACAAGGGTCGAGTGACCATCTGTAAAGCTACGATTTTGAAAGTTTGTGGTGAGTAAACATTGCGATATTCGTTACGTGATCAAAATCATATAAAAGAATAGATGTAACGGGTTGAATTAAGCTTACCTAACGCTCGGTGCAACTGAAACTAGAACAATTCTGAGAATCGAATCGGTCACTTGCATGCCGCAGTTTCTTAAGCTTATGCTTTACAATGAAATAAATCTATCAGTAAGGTTTCAAGATTCCTTTAGTCACGTTTGGGAACATTCAAGATTCATAATAGGAACTGTTATTAAACAAACCTTATTACATAAAGAAGCCCTCCTTGGTAAAAACAAAATAATGTATTCAGCCCTTTTTTTAGTAAAATCTATGGGAGAGATGTACTAACTCCAATATAAAAGTCACTCAATATAACAGAGATTTCTTGATTTGAAAATCCAATGAATGCCCTTTTCCTTATAGCCATCTTAAAGGCCTGGTCTGAGCTTTAAATATATATATTTATATATATTATTTTTTTTCAAATTCAGATGTCATGGAATCCAGATACAAAATGGTCAAGCTTCTTGCAGACAACCTCATTCAAGGCCAACTCGTTGTGAGCCCAGGGAAAAAAATACAAATAGCAGCTAAGTTTGCAGTTTAGGATAACTTCATTCTAATTTATTGTTACAGTTACAACAAGATTTTAATTAAAAAAATCAATTTTATTTATCTGTAATTAACCCCTTCACTCCTGGAGTGCTTGGTTTTCAAATATAATTTAAGATATTGTATTTTATGGAAAAGAATCAACAGATTTTATTCACAATTTGTGTCAAACCAAATTTAATGATTGATTAGGATATTTTATATGAATAGCTGTAGTTGAGGATTAATCTGTATGAAGTTTTCAAGTAAAGAAAAATAAATCAAATTCCATCCAAATATTACCACATGTTGATGTTAATAATTAATCAAAAATATTTTACATGTAAGCCTTAATTAAGCTTGTAAATAAATTTCATTGAATACTTGAATTTTAGCTGGGTTTTTTTTAATTTAAAGTATTTTTTTTTATCGTTAGCCTCAAATTTTTGCTTAAAATTCTCAATAATTCTTAAAAATTCCTAAAAATTCCTAGAAATTCCTTGGAATTTTTTAGATTTACAGCTTTTCAGGGAGAGTCATTGGTTCTCTGAGTTGGAATTCCTAGGAATTCCAAGTCCTGTTGGCTATAAACTTGGAATTTCTGGGAATTTCTAGGAATTTCTAGGTTTTTGGAACCAGAGTTGTTATGGTTGCAAATTCCTAGGAATTCCCAGTCCGAATTTACTCTGAAAATTCACACCTTTATTCCTAGGAATTCCAAACTCCATTTTGCAAGGGTAATTCTGTCAGGCTTTCAAAACCACCTAGACTCTTGGCAAGTGTAAATAACTGAAAGAAAAGGATAAACAAAGACTCATGGCATTCAGTGACATGAGACATTAAACTTGTAAGACAAATGGGTTTCCTTTTGGATTTCACGAATGCCACAGGAACTCCAACCTTAAGCCTAAATAGCATTAACTTTACGTAATCTGCATACTTTACGTACTTTATTATAATAATAAATAGTTTTGTGTATGTCTTCTGTGTTTATTCACTTACAGCTTAATCAGTAACTTTTGTGTATCTCTCTTGTACTTTTTTAATTAGGAATCAAGTTATTAAAACCTTAAATCATCAATGGTAAAACATTGTCTCTACTTTACAACATGGTTTTCCCATGCTTAACCCTTTACAACCTAACATCAGTATGCATGTTCTCCAAACTGTTCTCTATATATTTTTCTAGGTACTGACAAGGGGAGTTTGTTTAACAGTCAAGAGCTTCTTTAGTTTGTGGTCATTTCCTTTATTCTCATGACCTTGACGTCTGATTCAGGGGTGATATTGTAAGTAGAAATAAGATGCAAGTCACTCTTGATAGTTACAACAGATTTATTGTGTCTTGCTGTTAACAATACAACTTTAAGTTGTGATTCCTGAAAACAGTTGTCTGATGGTAAAACAATTATTGAGCATCATAATCTTGAAATATTGTGAATTGTCAGTGTGTTAAAAAACAATTATTTTTCCCAGTCAAAAGCAAATGATTTATCAGCTCCCCATTGCCAAATCTCAAGATTTTGCTCAACACTATCCAATAATTATTAAGTATCATATAAATATTATTCAATCACTGCATACCTCCATATACATCATCCACGCAAACAATGTGTTCCCCACTCTTAAGTAAGTGAGTCAATAACATAGTGGCTGACAGACCAGAAGAGGAAGCCAAGCCTAAGGATGTGTCGAAATAGAGAGGTCGTGCCATTAGTAATTATTAATATCAACTTGCACATTTCATAATAATTTTGTAACACATACTGGTACTTCTTAGTCAGTTCTCATTATTCATTCTCCCCTCTATACTCCCCTAAGTCTGACTATTTCTAGTTGTGGAATTACCAGACACATTGAAAGTTCTTATAAATAAGCCAAAGTCTGTATTGTTCACATGTACACTCAACTGCATAAGTAACATTCATCAGTAGGACTACGTGTTCAGGAAATGTCTTGTTACCCACCCCTAGGATAGTCAGCAGAAACACCAGATTGGAAGGGGGGGGGGAGTCTCAAAACTTGCCAGAATCATCAAATCCCAAAAAAGAAACGTGATGTGTTTATTGAAGAGAGAGGTCAGAGAGCATAACAAAGGTATTATAGAGTTTTCACAATTGAGGTTATTTGTTAGGGTTTTCTGATCTCTGCTCTTTTATGAAAACGATTGGGATTGCCATCAAACTTTTTCATACCCCGGCCAGGATTTCTCATAAAGCAATTCCAACTAACCCTGGGGCAAGAAACATGTTTGTTCGTTTTCCATTAGAAGAAATCACTTTGAAAACCAGTTTGACAAAATATTTCCAGCAATTATTTCTGTTTTCTTTAAAGCTTATAATGTGGACTAATCGTGATGTCCTTATAAGTAACCAAAACAAAAATTGTATCCACGTGTGGGGTTCACGTGGAGGATAAAGGCTATATTTCCTTACCATGCTTGGCACCCTCCAAAGCCGCCACGCAAGCCTCAAAGCAGTTCCTGGTAGGGTTCCCCGACCGCGAGTATTCGAATCCCTAGAAGAAGCAGAAAGATCAGAGGTACAGCAGCGTTGATCGTTGCGAATTTTTCACGTAAGATAACGAGAAACTCACACGATGAACTCCTGGGTCATCCTGTTTAAATGTTGTAGCCATCGAAATCGGTGGCACAACTGCCCTAGAATTCCACTGTTCGGGTTCTTGGCCAGCATGGATCGCCAAAGTTCCGAAATGCGGAAAAGGTTTGAGATTCTTTTGTTCGGCTTCGTTCGCCATCTTGGAAGGAGAGGAGAGGGTAGACCGGGGCACAAAGTGACGTAATACTCTAAACAACAACAACCTGCTTCGTTGCACAATCATCATGGCATTTGCGGCTCAAGATATGCATTGATCTCCCCAAAATTACTCAAATGGACAAACATACTGGCTCTCTAAAAGAAAACAAACGGGCTCCATGCTAAAACAAGTAGATTATTCTCAAAAAGAAAGGTTCAAAGCTCGATGTAACCGTCCCCTCCCCCTAACACACCCCAACAGTTTTTAGCCACGCACGCCGCCGGCTCCAGAGCCCCCTCGGATTTAAATATGGCGGCCTCTTAATAGCACACTGGCGTGTTTTAACCAAGAGTTTCATTCAACTACATATATCTAACCCAAGGTATCTTTCTTTACTGAAATGTGAGAAATGGTATGGTACTGTGTGTTAACTAACTTTGTAGGTATAATTTTCAATAGTTTGCCTGAGTATGTCAGGGTAGCTGAGTGAGGCTGACAAGTTACAATGTTCTGCCTTTTTTTTTTTTTTTATCTTAAACAAGGTCATAACATGAAGCAATTTTGTCTTCATTCTTTAACTCCCAAGATCTGTTTGCTAATTCTCCTCTTTAGTTTCTAGACGTTTCCTTGTACATTTGTTATAGGAATTTGTTGTTAGATCAAGATAACGACCTACTCTTTCGTTGGATATTGTATAAATAGTTTGGGGAGAAGTTACATGTAAATCACATCACACGGGAGTTTAAGGGTTAAACAGCGTAATGTGATACACTGCTACCTAAATTTCACTGAAGTTCGAAATATACAGGACTTGAGCATTCCCCACAAATTTGTTCAAACTGCAGCTTACTAATTCTGCAGAGTAGTTGCAATCTGCAACTCTAATGCTTATTTCACAATTTTGACAAGTATTAGTTAATCTTTCATTTACTCAGACTGAAGAGAAAATGAAATTGTTCATCAACTTGAAAGGTGATTGATAAAGAAACCTTGAGGCTTCACCTTACCCAGACTATTTTTTCCACAAGCCTGGTGTAACCAACATGCCAGTAATAAATTTTAGATGAGTTTAATTTCCTGATGACTGGACTGAACTCTTCTATCTACATGCCATTGCCAGTGGTTTCTAAGTAAAGTATTACAAACATAATACATCAAGAACGGAATGACGAATTACGAGATTGGAAATAAGATAGGAAATAGAAATAACAAGAAATAGGTATAACATAGACAATATTAATAATATATGAAACATGGGTCACTTGACAAAAGAGCAATTTACCTGACAATTCTGGAATATGGCTGTCATAACAATGTACTAGCAATTACCTTTTAACTCAAGCTCACACCTTTTTTATTTGCATGATCTGTGGGAAAGTAAAACTTACATGGCTAGCTGCGTGGACTGGGGCTTTAAGGGGGGGAGGGATTGGTTTCTACACCTGGTGTCTTCTCTTGATTTTCTGAGTTGGAAGAAAATGTCTTGTAAGAAAGTTGTGCTCCAAGGAACAACTCCCCTCTTGATCTTATCCAGTTGTCATTGTTAGGTCCAAAGAAGCTAATTTATCTCACATTTGTGATTGTTAATTTGCTGGGCAGAGTTTATCAAGAGGTGAAGATGATGACATTGCCTGAAAACAAAAATCAAAAGAAAATCAGAAGACGAAGAAGAAAGGAAAAAACAGTATTGACTCAGGTAATGTTTTAGTGTGAACACCAACAATTTCAATTTTCTTTTTTCTTAACCTGTCGGTAACCTGTTGGTTAGCTGTCGGTAGACTGTCGGTAAGGTAGGCCGATAGGTTTTTTGGGGAGCTCTTCTTCACAATTACCTTAGGGTGAACATGAACAGTTTCAAAAGGAACAGATGTTGAGACTCCACACAAACTATTACACCTCTGTTTTTGTTTTAATGGTGTACTGTGCTGTACAGTGTCCTTGTCAATTCCAAATGCAATTTGCATTATTACGAAAACATGATGTAAAAAGATTCACATAATGATATGTACAACATCACAATGATGTCCTGACCCTATTTCTAGATTAATCTTACATCTCTGTTAGATTCTGATGAAGATCCTCTTCCTCCAAAAATAAGGTACAATACAATAACAATACAATACATACCTATTTTACGTAGGTATGTGATTTGTTTTTTCAATTTTGTTCCATTTTATACAGTTGTAATTAACCTCTGACCCTAATATCACCCCTGAGTCAAGAGTCAAGGATATGATCACCAACTATAGAAGCTCTTGATTATTAAATAAATTCTCCTTGTCAATACCTTAGAATATGCATAGAGAACAGTATGGAGAATATGGATACTGATGTCAGGTTGTATTCAGAACCTGGTTCTCTTTCACTCATCTCTGTTTCAGAAAAGCCACATCAGTAAAGATGGAAGAGAGTTCAAAAGCTAAGAAAAGTAGAAGTCGCAATCAGCTTGGACTCAGGTAAAGAAATTATGTCTACTTATTGAGAGTATCCTATACTTTTTACATGAAAGGTGATGTGGAGACTTTATCTTCACAGGAATTGTGATTTCATCTTTTGTATAATTATGTATATTTTTAATTTTTATAGGATTAACAGTTTTATTAACGAGTTGGAAAGAGTGAAATAATGAATTTGGTTTAATTTTTTTCTTTGGTTTTATTTATCTTGAAATGTGATGGTCTTGAATTTCATGTGAATGTGAAAAAATTTTGGATACTTTTCATGATGAATAAGATGGCCAAATATTTTTATGTGACTAAGTACAGCACAATGGTTTTTAGCAGACTCTGCTTATTGATGGAGTGGGAGGGCTGGATAGGGAAATATTTAGTGTGTGGTGAGCTTGAGGCACAGTAAGATGATGTCAGTTTTTTTAACATGGCATCACCTTTAACATTGCTTATGTATTAGCTTGCCAAAGAAAACATATCCATCTGCTTCATTCAGGGTTCAACACACTTACCATTGGACCACTCTGCCTAGAACAGAATTTGAATATTATAGCACTTGAGTTATATTTTGATGTGGTTTCTACAGATGAGGAAGAAGTTGTACCCAGCAAATTAAAGAGTCTGCAAAACAAAAAGACAATGTAGCTTCTAAAGAGGTTCAGCAAGTTAAAGAGAGGTATCATCCATCAAGATATTGCTGTGGAGAATCATCTGGTTTAATTCTTCTCCTTGTTCTCCTCTGTCCAGTCACCCACCTGTCAGTTTTACCACTACTCAATCCCACCTTTAGGTTCATCTGTTGGATCATTTTACTGTACTTCCACCTGTAGACTTGTTTGTGTTACTTAAATTGAGTTACAAGAAAGTACAGTTTTTTTGTTTTTTGTTGCTTTATTTTTTTAATCTACAGAAATTTTGACCGTAAAGGTAATTTTTTTTGTGAGTGTGTAGGAGAACCAAATCTGTTATGGGTAGACAAATATCAACCTTGTGCAGTGAAGCAGATTATTGGTCAGCAGAGTGATAAGAGCTAAATGAGAAAGCTGATGAACTGGCTGAGAGACTGGGAAAAGAATAGAAAGAAGCCTCTAAATGTGAGTACACATGTATCTGATTGTCAAGATGCTTTTCCCTCAAATACATGTACATGTAACTTCTCTTCAGGCAAGTATGCAAACAGTTCAGGAAAACTGACGCAGAAAGCAGATGAAAAAGTTTGGGTTGTAACCAGATAGGGGAACCATTCTAGTGGGGGAGGGGGGGGGGGGAGTAGCAATTCTCCTAGTCACCTGATGCTACTGAAATTAATTTAAGCTTTGACAAGATTAGTCCTCTGGCTCTAGTGCTGACTTTACCTTTGACCCTTTAACTCCCATAAGAGACCAAGACAGGATTTCTCCTTACAACATCAATACAATATTGAGCAGGCAAGTTATGAGAATAAAAAAAATTAATTAGGGGATTATTAGTTGATACAATACCAAATTATCCAAATCATATGAATTTGATGGCAGACAGTAAGAAGTAATAGTGAGCTCTTTGGAGTAAAAGGGTTTAGTGCATGAACCTAACCTTAATCTACAGATATTTTACAGAAGACCTTAAATTGAGTTGAATCCAGATTGTTTCTAAATTCCCACATTCAGAGATACATTTTTTTAAAGAGCTGTAACTTATGAACTTTGATGAATTTATTTCACTTGACAGTCACTTATACATGTAGTTAGTATGTTAGTAATGGAATCACAATTGTAAGTATTTTTATTTTGTACAGCTTCCTTTTTCAACAAAGACCAAGATGGGTCGTCCTTTAAGGCAGCTCTTGTGTCCGGTTTCCCAGGAGTTGGTAAAACCACATCAGCAAAACTGGTTTGTGAAGAGCTTGGTTTTACGTACACTGAAATGAATGCCAGTGACACACAGAGCAAAAAGACCTTGGAAGAACACATTTCTCACTCACTGAACAATTAAACCATGGATGGCCTTCTGACAGGTTGTCAAATTTCTGTAAGATTTGGAATTACTTTGATATTATTATGAAGATGCTTCATTCATTCTCCTGTCTTACTAAACTGATTTTCCATTGTAGTTAATTTATTGCATTGACAACAGATCAAATAAAATATGAAAGTTCGGCGATGTAATATCAAAGTGCTTTTGACATCAATCTGTTTTTTGCTTCTTTTGCATTATTATTATTATTATTATTAATATTATCATTATTATTATTATTATTATTATTGTTATTATTATTATTATTATTATTATTATTATTATTATCATTCAGTTTTGAACATCAACGCCATTTCAGTAATATATTTCAACACAGCTCACATTAAAGTGTTGGGATGTCATCTCTGTGCCAGTTTGGATCGTTATGGATGGGAATGTTTAATTTGTTGACAAAAAATAAGCTAAATGAAAGCTTTAATCCACCGCACCACCTTTCTTTTTTTTCCTCTAATTCTATACCTTCTCCACTTTCCATCCTACAATAGTAGTAGCCAGGAGAAATTGGGAAGTTAAAATACCTTTGTGTTTTTTATTATTTTCCGCCACGTTTTGGAAATTTTTTCGATTAGGCAAACCAAAAAAAACTCATTACCATTTGTATTCCAACAGACGGAAATTTCCCAATTTTCGAGAATTCCACGTTATCCGGTCGGAGAAAATCAGATTTAATTTTTCCTTACATTTTTAGTCGTATTCGTTATACAGTAACTTTTTGCTAAATTTGGCCTCCTGTCATCTCTTTTCACTCACCCGTCGAATTACAGCACTATTAGTCAACTTTTCCTGTTTCCAGGCCGACAAATCGCCCGCATCTTTAATAAGAAAATTTCCTTCACTATGCTTTCAGTACGAGTGTTTCTCATTCTCCCCAGTCCTTTCAGGACCTCTCGTATGGCAATCCAGCGCCCTTCGATCAACCTAAGCAGGCGATGGTTTAACGACCATCACATCAGCAAAAATAAAATTAAATTGAAAAAATAGCATGTTTATGTCATTGTGCTATACTCCGGATTAATGAAAATGAAAAGTTAAAAAATGTAATATGAGGCCCTGTCCAAACTTGGCGTATAAATAGTGAAACAGCATAGCTCCAAAATACAATCATGGATCACGAAATAAACAATGATACACCATTTTCTGTTTCGAGCTCGATGAGTTCATATTCAGCTTTTTCAATACTGCTGGTGTGACCAAGTGCACCGTTTTGTTACACACTTGTGGGGCAAATCACATTTTCATAGGAGCTAAGGTGAGGACAGAATAAGTTCATAGCGACCTAATGCAGTGAATGAGATAAACGGGTATTGACTAAAGATACAAATAGAAATAATTTGAGACATGAGACACTAGAATGAAAGAAATATCGATCTTATTTACTCGTCACGAACGCAGGATCGAATCTTAGACCATCGGATTTTACGAGTTGAAGTTCTCACATATAGCTATGGATTTCTCGTTAATGAGCCAAGACATACAGCGGATACATAAAGGATCATCCTGCATACTGCCTAGATCATCAATGTCGAAAGTTTCATGTCTTAAATTACATAATGATAGAAAGGAAATTTCAAGCTCTTTCGTGACAGAGGAAAAAATCATTTTTAACCAACGACCGAAAAAAAAAAACCCTATCCGTCAGATCAGGTTAAACGACAGATTAAATATCAATGCTGACATGTAAATAAACATACCAGACCTTGAGGTGGCTTATTTATCTTCCCATGAGGAATTTACGAAGCTGCGGCATTTCTGATTCCAGTATCAAGTGCGTCACATATCCGTAGGGAACTATTATACAATTATTCGCTTTAATTCTTTATAGCACGCGATACGATTTAAATATGCTTTTCTCTAGATACAACGAGAAGTCAAGTATTTTTCTTGGAAAAGAACTTTATTGGAGTTAAATTTATTGCAAGTACTCTTCAGGTGAGGAAAGCTAATGAAGAAATATGTTGCATATTACAATCGAAAGACATGAAAATTGGAAAAAAATATACATAAAGAATACATATCATTGGTGTGATTTCTTTAACTTTGTATCTCCCTCCGGTGATGAATATGTGCAACTTGTTATTACAAAGTATACGTAGATATCAACGCAACAACCAGCAAAAAAATTGGTGTTCGTTGAGAGCAGAGAAAGTTATCGCTTATAGCGAAGTATCTTGGTATGACATTAAATTTTCTTTGCATGTGAGAGAAAGCCAGTGAATGAAAACAACTGAGGGATGGATGCTCATTTTAACTTGTTCGGGACTCGACTACACACGAACAAACTCATCTTGATTTTGTGAATCAGCATCGTTTTCATATAAGGAAGGAACAGATTTTATTATTCAAATACTGATTGTATCGGGATGACATCCAAAGCGCTTCTGAATTTCACTGGACACTTACGCTTTTGACTGCAAAAATATTAAGTGCAGAATTGGCGAGAGTTGTTTACGGTAAAAAAAAGTTGACCGTTATTATATTTAGAAACGTTGTCACGGTGAAAGTGGAAAATAAAAATTTGAGAGAACTGTAACGCTAAAGGGAAGATGACCAAAAACAAATTTTTATCATATAAAATACGCTGATTGGTATCGCCAATCAACTGCTGGACGTCAACCGCTTTTCGCGCCACTTTATTACGTTCGTGAATGAATGGCAAATTCTCATTCCTAAATAAAGTCGCCTTTCAAGTTGTCTGCAAATGCCTATGGTGTTTACATAATAAACAAAATAATACTTGGCTGCTTGTTGATATGGGATTACTATTGTCATAGAGAGCGCATTGAACGAGGGATATATCGAGTTGATAACTTGAAGAGAAATTGCATTGGTACAATATAACTCACGGTGTGAATTCATCTTTATCGATTCAGTTATGGCAGAATGTAACATTTCCTGCTCTGAAGAGAAAAGGGATTTTGCGGATTGCGAGTATTTCGCACTAAAAGAGAAAGAGCTGCATTAAATTACAAACTGAATCAATTAATAGTCATGCAGAAACATGTAAACAAATAATAACCATAGAAGAATAAAACAAAGAAAAAAACAAGCACAATAACTAAAAAGAACACCAATTTTGATCGCGAAACTGGGAATTAGACGAGGTTAGATCTTCTAAACTCGTGAATATGTAACCTTCATTTTTTTATCGAAATTTTTGTAAAGCAAAGTATTATTCTTAATATTTTCTTTTCTTTATATTTTCAGGCATGTAGAATTAACAAATGACATCGTTTGGAGAACAGAGGGATTTAGAGGACGACAGTTTAACAGGTACAAACCAATTTTCATTCTGCAACTGATTATAGCTGTAGAGCTCATGTTATTTACAATGAAAGATCATAATCTTAATTTCCCTGCGACTGACAACAATATTCGAATGGAATATTTTATTTACTAGAACTTATGAATTTGTTAAAGAACCTTTTTCCAGAGGTTTTCGATAGCTTTGAGGGAAATTTTATACATGCACTTTGTAGAAGAACAGAGATCTTACACTCGCTACCACGGGTCGATAAACGTGTTTTGTTACGCAATAGGCTCGCGGTGCGTTGATAGAATTCGTGACAGTTACGTAGACCTTCGGAGGTGTTTTGGGCTTGAATAAGTTTTGCGAATTCTCTCGGCCCCACGCGCGATGAAATGAAGGAATAAGAGAAAGAGTCTTTTATTGCATAACATTTTATCTGTGTTTATCCATGCCTACCGGGTACAATTGGGTTGTTTATTGCAACTCACGCATTTTGATAAGGGACAGCCTTGAATAACGATTCCTAAGAAAAGACTAAAAAACAAACAAGCAAACAAACAAACGAATGAAAAACACAAACATGACACAACCCGCTAAACTTGACTGGAGCTGTCACGCAACCACAATAGCGTGACGGAGGGAACTTTCAGATTCTCATTCATCCTCTATGATTAAGTATACAACGTTTTCTTTAGGTTACTTTCATTTGAGTCTCCTCTTTTTTATTTTTAACGATGTAGCGCAGTGCAATCGATTCAATTTTATTTCTAGCTATGGCAGAAAGCAACCTCCCAACAACGGGAGAAGAACTGGGAGTGAAAAATGAGTTTCCAGCTACAGGTAAGAAAGGGCAACAAGGAAAGACTTCTTTATGGTAATTTTATACTGTTTGTTGATGAAGTATACCTTAATTCTGATGTACAATTTTTTATTACTTCGACTTGATGGTTTTAGGAATCCACTAATTAAATACGCCAGCATTAGAACGCTAGTTGTAATTGCACATAGTTGTGATCACTGACAAAGTTGAAATATCTTCTCAGTAATTTCAGGGACAGAGAAAAGTCAAGTTACGTCAAGTGACGCTGAACTGAATGTAGACGATGACTTTTTAAGAGGTGAGAAAAGATTTTTTGAAAGAAGTCCCCATGAAGTTTTTCACTTTTACATCAAAATTTGCGTATGTTCTATGAATAAGTTTTTGATACAGCAAAGATTGTTTCTTCAAATTTCAGATTTTGTCACCAGTAAAATAAAAAACAAAGGAAAAAAAACAAGTTGCCCTAAATTAAAGAAGAATGGGCCAAAATTGGCCTACTAGGCTTTGTAAAACTCGGTTTTTCTGGGTTTTAGAAGTGCTTACTTGTAAATCAACACACAACGTTTTGGAGATTAACGGTGTATCTACAGTTTGCACCTAAAATGGAGGATATTTGCGTGTAAAAGTATTATCCTTTTGCACTTGAAAATATTGTAAATTTGATCATTTTTAGTGTGAAAGTCATATTCGGCAAGAGAGAGCTGTTGGTATCCGTGGACGAATACCAATTTTCGAAGTTTTGAAAAATTTACAAACGGATAACTTTTTGAGGCCGCCAAAAGGAAAGCATTTACGCTAACACATTTTTGTCCCTTATTGTTCAGTACATGTTTGACAGAAATTATACGCAATTTGAGAATTCTAAGGAGAAGAGGAAGCATTTTGTCTCGGCCGTATCGCCTGTTTTGGTCCTCTAAATATTTCACGCCCCTTTAGACAGTTATGTCAACACCAGGCCCACTCTGTAAACCACTAGCCAACAAAATGTGGAGCCGCTGACTTTCACAACAGGCAAAATGGTACTTCGCGGGAAAGTGATACTTTCCCAATCAAATTTCTCCAGTTAGCCTCTTCGAGTATGTTCTCAATAGACAATTACATGTATGAGAAAAACCAAGCGATAAAGAGAAAAAGACAAAAAAACCTTTTTCCAGCGCACTTTTCTGAACGATGGTAAAACCACGAACTCTTGTCACTCTCAGACTCTCAACGCGATGTTCCTTTTTTCGTTATCAGAACATTCACAAGTTTTGACCTTTTTCGGTCCTGGCTTTGCTTTACTCTATGCAATAACTTATGTGGTTTTACATTCTAACGTGAAATTTTGAAAAACGTAGCCCATGTGTAAAAGGGTCATTGGAAAGTCTCTCGACCTAAATGTAAACCGATCAGACTTGATGTGGTTATAGCCAAGCTACAGCTAAAACTCCAAATAGCTTGCATATTTTAAAGAAAACAAAATACACAGATAAACTCTCCTGAAGGGCGATTGTAAACAAAGTTGAGTTAAGATAGGATCTTCCGGTGAAACTTGTGATATTTTGGAAAACGTAAGCCAGGTGTAAAAGGAGTTTGGAAAGCCTCTCGACCTAAATGTAAATTGATAAACTTGTGGTAATAGCCAAGCTACAGCCCAGACTCCCAACAGCTTGCACACAAACAAAATGCACAGATATTAAACTTTTCTGGTTGTTTTTTCTCATAGCTCTAAGCTCCTTTAACTTAAAAGTTCGTTTGGATATATAGAGTTGGCACCATCCGTCAAGGGTCGTATCACTCATTACTAAATCATTAATACTAAAACGTTGTGTTTTTAGAAATAGCGAAAGCTTGTCTCGAGGAAGGTAACAAAGAATACAGACAAGGAGAAGCTAATAACGCGATAAACTCGTACACGGAAGGACTTCGAGTGAACTGCAAAGATAAACGACTGAACGCCAAGCTTTACAGCAACAGGGCAACAGCTCATTTCCGTTTGGGTAACAATTTCATATGTAAACATAAATCTGTCGCGCAGCGTTACAAGATAGCGGAATACACAATCTGAATCAAGAAAAGAAAAAATTGAGCAAATGTAGAAAAGTAGCATACAAACATAACTCGCCCTGTAGCGGATGAAAATTAAGCAAAGAAATGATCCTCGTTACATTTTAAGCAATTGTAATTTTTTAAGGCTTCTTTGTTGCAATTCCATATGATGACCACTTTTTTAAGCCTTATTTCCTGAATCTCATAGCAAACTATGTGGAATGTCTCGATGATGCAACAGTTGTCGTTCAGTTGGAACCCACTTTAATCAAAGCTATTAAGAAAGGTGGGTTTTTCAGACATGAGCCATCAACATTCTATTCTCTGATTTCGTCAAAAGAGGATTGTGTGGTTTGTGGCAGGTTACTGCTCCCCAGGTGTCAATTGTATCTGGTGTGCCAATGTCTGTAATGTGGGTAAAAAGCATAAGAGAATGTCAATAAGCTCTCAAATACCGCCGCCTGTTTAGTTCACGTTGTAAAGCGCCGGAGGTCGAGGGTTCAAGCCCTAGACCGGACCATCTCTCTTAGTCTTAAATATCTGAGGACAATGTGCTGCCGCCTAAGCTGTGACATCTGCAAATGGTTTAATATTCTAGTCCCGGATAAGAACGGAAAACCGTAAGCCTCGTTTTTTGCATCTTCTCTGTAACTCAAAGGAGGCACCTGAAAAATTCCCTTTCAAAAATTATAAACTGCTCAATGCAGTCTGCCCGAAAATTTCCTCGAAAAGTGCTGAAAAGCGCATAATAGCACATTTAAATGAAGAATGTGCGAGATAAATTTATCGTTATCATCATCAATTGAAGCTTAATTGGTAGCCGCTTTCCATTAGCTCCTTATTGTTTATTTTCAGTTCTTCTACAAGTTCAATTTCCTTCATTATCAAAATTTTTGTTCCTAGCTAAATGGGAAATTAAGTCCATTTTATCAATACGTTTATACTTTAACAGTGATGAATACCTCGTACCAACAATTATTCTCTCCTTTTCAGGAGCCAGAGCTTGTGTCGAACTTGGCTTGTATAAAGAAGCAAGGAGCTGGTTGCATATGGGATTGGCCGTATCCTTTAACGAATGTCTCAAAGGTCATACGAGATGCAATACGAGTAATATTTCAAGGGAAATCAATACGTTCCGGAGAGATTCTTCAACACATAATGGAAGCAATGTTATCTTATACTGCACTGAGCAGTTTAAAGAAGCTAGAATATTCTTAAAGAAGAGGTCATATTAATTAACCCTTTAACTCCCATTAAAGAGTATTTTAGACTATTCCACGAAACTTTACTTAAGAGAAGAGGCCATATTAATTAATTCCCAGAGTTTGAGCTGAATACCCCTCACTTTTCGTCTTCAGACCAGCATCACCATGACGACCGAACCCAAACCAATAAATACGCTTCAGGGCTAGACAAAACTCTCCAATAACTTGAAATCAAATCCCTAACAAAACCCACGTTCGAATTATCATTCCAGTTTTAAGGTTCTATCTAATACTCTTACTGTTTTTTAAAAATACACATTTCCATTGCATTTTCGTAAATCTGCTGATTTATCGACCCTTGACACGTTTTAAGATTGAAAATGACGACCAACGTTTGCTTCAATTACTAAGGAAAACTAATGCTAAACTAATAGTCATAGCAAACAGTTCTTCCAATCTCGGAAACGCTTATCAAGGACGAGAACAGTTCAAAACAGCCATCCAGTACCATCGACGTCATCTAAAAATTGCTAAAGAAGTGGTAGACAAGGCTGGAGAGTGAAGAAGTTATAGCAATCTCGGCAACGCTTATGGCAGACAAGGCCGGAGAGGGAATCAGTTATTGCAATCTCGGCAACGCTTATCGCAGTCTAGGACAGTTCAAAACAGCCATCCAGTACCATCAACGTCATCTAGAAATTGCTAAAGAAGTGGGAGACAAGGCCGGAGAGGGAAGAGGTTATGGCAATCTCGGCAACGCTTATCAAGGTCTAGGACAGTTCAAAACAGCCATCCAGTACCATCAACGTCATCTAGAAATTGCTAAAGAAGTGGGACACAAGGCCGGAGAGGGAGCAAGTTATTGCAATCTCGGCAACGCTTATCAAGGTCTAGGACAGTTCAAAACAGCCATCCAGTACCATCAACGTCATCTAGAAATTGCTAAAGAAGTGGGAGACAAGGCCGGAGCGCTTATCAAGGTCTAGGACAGTTCAAAACAGCCATCCAGTACCATCAACGTCAGCTAGAAATTGCTAAAGTAGTGGGAGACAAGGCCGGAGAGGGAACCAGTTATGGCAATCTCGGCAACTCTTATGGCAGCCTAGGAGAGTTCAAAACAGCCATCCAGTACCATCAACGTAATCTAGAAATTGCTAAGGCAGTGGGAGACAAGGCCGGAGAAGGAAGAAGTTATGGCAATCTCGGCAAAGTTTATGAAGGTCTAAGACAATGGCCTTTCTCGGCATCCAGCAATCTCGGCAACGCTTATCGCAGTCTAGGACAGTTTAAAACAGCCATCCAGTACCATCAACGTCATCTAGAAATTGCTAAAGAAGTGGGAGACAAGGCCGGAGAGGGAAAAAGTTATGGAAATCTCGGCGTCACTTATAGAAATCTAGGACAGTTCAAAACAGCCATCCAGTACCATCAACGTCATCTAGAAATTGCTAAAGAGGTGGGAGACAAGGACGAAGAGGGAAGAAGTTATTGCAACCTCGGCAACGCTTATCAAGGTCTAGGACAGTTCAAAACAGCCATCCAGTACCATCAACGTCATCTAGAAATTGCTAAAGAAGTGGGAGACAAGGCCAGAGAGGGAAGAAGTTATGGCAATCTCGGCAACGCTTATCAAGGTCTAGGACAGTTCAAAACAGCCATCCAGTACCATCAACGTCATCTAGAAATTGCTAAAGAAGTGGGAGACAAGGCCGGAGAGAGAAAAAGTTATGGCAATCTCGGCAACGCTTATGAAGGTCTAGGACAGTTCAAAACAGCCATCCAGTACCATCAACGTCATCTAGAAATTGCTAAAGAAGTGGGAGACAAGGCCGGAGAGGGCAAAAGTTATTGCAATCTCGGCAACGCTTATCAAGGTCTAGGACAGTTCAAAACAGCCATCCAGTACCATCAACGTCATCTAGAAATTGCTAAAGAAGTGGGAGACAAGGCCGGAGAGGGAAGGAGTTATGGCCGTCTCGGCAACGCTTATCAAGGTTTAGGAGAGTTCGAAAAAGCCATGAAGTACCATCAACGTCATCTAGAAATTGCTAAAGAAGTGGGAGACAAGGCCGGAGAGGGAATCAGTTATGGCAGTCTCGGCAACGCTTATCGCAGTCTAAGACAGTTCAAAACAGCCATCCAGTACCATCAACGTCATCTAGAAATTGCTAAAGAAGTGGGAGACAAGGCTGGAGAGGGAATCAGTTATGGCAATCTCGGCAACGCTTATGGCAGTCTAAGACAGTTCGAAACAGCCATCCAGTACCATCAACGTCATTTAGAAATTGCTAAAGAAGTGGGAGACAAGGCCGGAGAGGGCAGAAGTTATTTCAACCTTGGCAACGCTTATGAAGGTCTAGGAAAGTTCAAAACGGCCATCCAGTACCATCAACGTCATCTAGAAACTGCTAAAGAAGTTGGGATCAAGGCCGGAGAGGGCTCTTATCAAGGTCTAGGACAGTTCAAAACAGCAATCGAGTACCATCAACCTGGTCTAGAAATTGCTGAAGAAGTGGGAGATAAGACCGTAGAGGCGTGGTCACTCTATTCCCTTGGAAGCAGTTTTGAGTGCCAAGGAAATCTTATGAGAGCCTTTGACTGTTATTATTCGAGTGTAGAATTGTATGATGATATCAGGGCCAGTCTTCAACTCAACGATCAGTGGAAGATTTGTTATCGTAATCAGCACCAAGTAGCATACAAAGGTTTGTGGCGTATAAATGTCAGTCGAGGTCAAGTTGTGAAGGCTCTACTTGCCACAGAGAAAGGACGTGCTCAAGCTCTGAGAGATCTGATGGTCGCAAAATATCAGCCTGGAGATTCTTCAACGCCCAGCGCATTCCGCATTTCTCTGAGGTGGGTTCCACTGAGCACAGTTTTCATAGCTATTAATGGGCCATGCGTTTACTTCTGGGTTTGCCTCAGTGAAAATAATATCCAGATGAGAGAAGTACACGTGAACAAATACATGTATGAGGGTGAGTTGAAAGTTTTCATCCAGCTACTGAACAGAACTGCTCTTAAGGAGATCGGCGCAAGAGATACTGTTACCATCGAAAATCCTGTGCTAGACTCGCCGACAGAAGAGGAAATGGCCGATGATGTGATCCGAGTTGATGTGAGGCACTCCCAATCGAGTGCTTTAAAGAAGCTGCATGACATCATCGTTAATCCTATTGCTGACCTGATCGAAGGCAACGACGAGATCACATTCGTTCCTGAGGGGCCATTTTGCCTTGTACCTTATGCTGCGTTGCAAGACTCTAACTCATCATATCTAAGTGATTCTTTCAGAATTCGTGTGCTTCCCTCTCTGACGACCTTGCAACTAATTCATGATTGTCCAGCTGACTTTCACATAAAGACTGGTGCATTGCTTGTCGGCGACCCATGTTTCAAACATCTCATCTATGAGGGAACACTTTTGGTGCAACTTCCAGGAGCAAGGAAAGAAGTGGAGATGATCGGCCGTGTCCTTAATGTTTCCCCCCTCACTGGAGAAATGGCAACAAAAGATGAAGTGTTAAAACGAATATCATCAGTGGCCTTAGTTCACATAGCAGCGCACGGCAAAATAGAAACTGGAGAAGTTATCCTGGCACCAAACGCCACAAGAGAAAACCCTCAGCCGCAAGAGAAAGACTATCTACTGACGATGAAAGATGTCATAGAAGCTGGGTTGCGAGCACGTCTGGTTGTACTTAGCTGCTGTCACACTGCTCGTGGGGAGGTCATGGCCGAGGGTGTGGTCGGCATGGCGCGTGCACTTTTGGGTGCCGGTGCTAGATCTGTTGTGGTAACCTTGTGGGCGATTGGCGACGAGGGAACCCTGGAGTTCATGACTTTCTTCTACGATGCACTTGCCAAAGGCAAGAGGGCAAGTGAAGCTCTCAATCAGGCCATGAAGTGTACGAGAGGAATTGAAAAGTTCAAGGAGGTGATTTACTGGGCACCATTTGTACTCATTGGTGACGACGTCAACCTGGATTTCAAGGATATTTCGAAGCTGAAGCAAGTAAATATTATGTTTCTTGTTGTGCAATTTATCGTTTCATGTGCTAAGAAATATTTCATGGCAACTCAACTATCCTCCCTAAACTTAGGCTCTAATTTTTCAGTTAAGGCAGTGAGCATTGGAATCCCAGGGAGTTTTAGGATACCTGCAAACGCTGATATTTGGACCATAAACCAGTAAGCTACCGACGAAATATTTGTCAAGAGTCTTCTTTTCAAGCAGGAAGAACCAAAAGACGGCCATAGTCAAGTTAAACAAGAGAACGGATTTCCATTGATTCAAAAGTTGACTTTTTGCTTGTCTGAACTGCTCTTACGAGCTTCATCTTTGATGTCCTGCCGGAACAGCCTTTTTTTTATATGATGTCTTGGAATTATCATGACAAGCTATGTAAAAAGTTTTTTTTAAATCTAAGTATTAGCTACTAAGAGGATTAAGGCTTTGCGTTTACTTCGAAGTTGAAACGTCTTGAAAACGTTTTCCACAGTTTTTTTTTCCAGATTTTTCTTAATCGGTTTTTGTCTCATGAGTGATGTAAAGCTGTTGTAGCCATGTGCATGTGTGGAGAATTTCCATGGAAATAAGAGAATAATCAGTTGTCCGATTGCTCGATTGTCTTAGTTTATGTCAGATGGAAATTATGATCAACTTTTCGAGGATTTGTACCCAGTCATTGGTACCTAATGTTCGCCAGTTTCTGCAGATCAGAATTTGGTTAATCTGGACTTAAAATGACAGATTTTGGTCGTAATGGTCAGGATTTAATCCTGGTATTAGTAAATATTCGGAGATTTTTCCTTTAATTTTGAACGCGATAAATTGTGTTATTTTTCACAAGCAGAGCGATGCATTTTAAGTATTTTGTTCAAACTAATCGTCCAAAGGCAAAACGAGAAGATTTATCTTAATTTGAGTTATTGGCGCACAAAGCATTAAAAGAAGTTCAGAACGAGCTAGAAAGTTGGAGCCAAGTGATTTCATCTAGTTTCTCCGATTAGATTGTTTACTTATCAGCTAAGTACAAAAAACTAATATTTGAATGTCAAACAATGAAACAAGTCGCTTGGTATTTGTTAGAATGGAAGAGCAAATCAATAACAAAGGGAAGAAAATTTCTGCATCAACCTGCATAAGCCATTTCTTGTCGTTTGAAGTGGTGAGCGCGCCTAAGTCTTATTTCCTTAATAACTTTTGCCCATTTCTTTGAATAGATTTATTGAATGAGAGATGAATTTCGATATTTTCTGACTCTATAACTGCTAGTATCGATCATAGGCAACCGTTCTTGAGGATGTCATGCGACGCACTTCTTTAGCGCGTTATGCGACAGATATCATGTTTTGTCACTCTTGTCGTTTGAAGTAGTGAGCGCACCGATGTCTCATTCGTTCAACTTTTGCCCATTTCCTTGGATAGAGTTATTAAGTGAGATATAAACCTCGATATTTTCTGGTAACTTAGGATGTCACGCAACGCGCTCCTTTTGCATGTAATGAAACAGATATGATGTTTTGTCAAAAATCGTTGGAAGCAAGAAAAGAGAAAGTACCTTTCACTTTGAGGGATGGTGCTTTAATCTGTTTATCGAAAGCGTCCTCATCATAGGAGGTACCCTAGGTCGGTACGGTTTCACGAGTGTAGAAAATATTGATGACTTTTTTCCTCCACGATTGCAAACTTAACTAAAACAGCCTGTTACAAAAAAACTCAAAACTTTCTTCAAACGGAGGAGGGCCGACCGAGGAGAATTTTTTACGGCTAACGGTTAAAATTGTGGCCATTTTTCTTCTGCGGTTAACTCAAAATAACACAAAATAACACATTGCGGAAAGGAAAGATTTTTAAGGTTGATTTTTTTCTACAACTAAGGGTTAAAATTGTTCAATTTTTACGTCTAACAGCTAGTTTTTTGACCGATATACGGCTAACGGTTAACCCCATGGAGACCCTCGACTGGGTGACATGCAAGATGTGAAATAAAAACGTTTTTAGAAGGTGGCTTTTGCAACTTGAATTTGGAGTGCTGGTTTTTGAGGAGTGAGGAAAACCGGGAAAAACAAGCCGTGGAAAAATCCTGAAATAAGGATCAACCTGGGAGAGACGGTCATAGGGAGAGCGTTGTCGCTACGCATTCCTGCTGTATTCAATCTGAGATGCTTAATGAAGCTAACGCGAGATATTCACCGAGGTGAGGGCGAGCAAGGATAAATTTCCTTCCCACTTTAAAGACCTTGTACTGGATCCGGAAAGTAAGTAAGCCCTGATATTCTGACTTCACCCCAGATCTAAAAAACTGCGACAACGTAGATGTTTTAGCAGGAGTTCTCTACTGACCATGGCATATATTACATTCATTTACGAAACTGGAACCATGGGAGGGGGTGGATCGAGGTTCTGTTCATCCTCCCAAGATGAGAGTGTGAATTGCTACGTGTTTTCAAGGATAGCATCACAGGTGGGGTTCTCAAAAATCTTAGAGCTACGATTTTAGAAGGTAAGGAAAAGAATTTCCCCGAGTAATTGCTGGACTTAGGCTTCTTTCGTCTTCTTAGATTTTCTCTTCGTGCCTCATAACTCTACTTCATCTGCCCACCCTACAGCGGTTTTTAGTATATACCATACAGGTGGATAGAGGTCTTCGCGTCGGCTGATTGGCTCATTCGAAATTAATAGTTGAACCTGTATTAAGCGGTCGGTTGTCAAATTCCCGAATTTTTTTCCTCTTATGCATTTTATTTTTCACCGCTTTTCAGCAATGGTCTCTATTAAGCGGTTGTGGTCATCCTTGACTGAGTCCCATCGGCCTGTTCGGGTTGTACGGAACGGTCACTTAGGGCGGAACCACTCGAATAAAACGACGAATTGTCTCTGAAGTAAAATTTATTCCATGTTTGTCTCCCAAAATCAATGTTAGTATTTAGAATTCAGGTGTTCCTCATTATAATTCTTATAATTCTTCTATAGGACTGTTTGTATCTGACAAATATTACACAAGAAAATTACACAAGAAAAATCATTTGATGGTTAATTACCAAGAGGTCTAATTGTTAGAATTCTAATCTATTGTTCTGTTTTTACGCTGTAACATCATTTTGTTGATGTTATTTGATACATTTTTGACATAAACTCGACATTAAATAAATGTTTTCTTGTCTTTTGTCGTTGACCTGTATTAAACGGTGATAACACTCAGTGATAACACTCAGTCACTTATATTTTATTAATTAAAACAGAGGAATCTTTTTTTTCTGCTAGCTCACGGTGAGTGCTGGACTGCTGTGCAGGTAAAGGGGGTAAGTTTCTAAAGAAACTGTGGTGCTGCATCAGGGGGAGAGTATAACAGTGTAATTTTGTATTATTAACTGAGTTGATAATGTAAATTGGCCACTGTAACGAGTTTAAAAGCTGACGTTTGGAGCGTTAGCCCTTCATCACAGTGGTTAGAGGAATTATGAGTTGTGTGTGTATTTATCAACAGAAAATGGAGTCACGCTATTGGTGGGAATATGGTGACAAGAAAACAAGAATAATTTAGCTGAATGAAAAGTGTTCGTTGATACTGTGGGGATTAAAAGTGCCGATCTGAAAGATAAATATTTGTTCTGAAGTTTTGCAGCCCTTCGAACAGCCTTGATGTTGGGAAAGAGATTAAGGAGATTAAATTGTCTAGCAACCGTTTTGGATGTGCTCTTGTCATTTCTTTCTACGTCACAAGGTGTTATGGCTGTGTTGGTAGTTGAGGGTTCAAGCCCCAGACCACAACAACACTCAGGGTTTTAAAATAACTAAGGAAAATGTGCTGTCTTTGCTGTAACATCTGAAAATAGTTAGATGTTCTGGTCTTCTCAGCTAAGGATGATAAACCATAGGCCCCATACTCTCCTACATCTTCTCTGTACTGGTTATAAGCAGGGGACATTAACCCTTTAACTCCCAGAAATGATTAACAGGTAACTTCTCCCTATAATATCCTTACATTATCCAGCAAACAGGTGATGAGAATACCCAGACTTCTCAGGTAGAGGATGTTTTCTTGATATCACAGAAAAGTTCTTATACCTGATGAATATGCAATTGTGCAGCAGCTAGAGGGGGAATTAGAACACCCGACTGGCCTACCCAATCTTGTTCCAAGCCCCCTCTGAGCACCTATCACTCTAAAGACAGATGGCTCAGTGGAGGAAACATAAATAAATAGATGAATGAATGAATAAAACAAATAAATAGAAATAAACCCAGCAGTTAGGGTTGGGGAGAAGGAAATGCCAAGAACCGTTACCCTCAAGGAAAACAATGCCATGCCATAGAACAGCGAACACAACACAGGCACATGGTAGAATAATGCATGCACTGATAAGGTATACCGCTAAACGAGGACGGCCCTAGGGCCCCAATGATCACAGCACTGCTGAATTTAACTCTGTAGAATGCAACAAATGCTGCACAGACGCTAACAGCTAGCTCAAACGCGAACCGAATACTTGAAATGCTACTAACCATATTTGTTCCTAGTTGTTAAATATGTTAAATTCCATTTAACTATATTTAATTTTTTTTTATAAACTAATTCTGCCCCACGGCAACTGATTTGATTTAATCAACTCAGTTGCAATTTGCTAAAGTAAATTCAAGCAAAAGTATCAAAACTGCAAAAAAATTCGATCAAAACCGAAAACCGCATGCAAAACCGTCAAAACTTATAAATGTTCACATCTCAGTTCTCAAAACCCTAATCGATACCATACAGTGTTGACAAGTGGAGCATACAGAGGTTTTGCGACTATTCGAGATCAGGGGAGGCGCATAATGGCCGCTTGTCGGGATCGAAGAGAAACCGGAATCCAAATAGAAAAATCCGAAAACCACATTGGAGATCAAATCCGAAGCTCAACAGACAAGTATTTTTGAAGAAAATCGGAAACCAAATGCTAAAAGACGGAAAATCCGTAAACCTCAATGAACACCGAATCCCAAAATCCGAAATTTTTTGGCACAAAAACCGATCTAAAAAATACTGAAAATTCCAATGCCCTGGCCCCTCAAGGATGAAAAGGACAGTTTAGTCCACAGATCACATAAATGATAACAAAAAAAAAACCATTATTACTGTTGAAACCTTAACGAAAACTTTTTTTAAATTTTTTTTATTTTTCAATCAGAAACATGCTGCAAAACAACTTTAGTCACGCGATATTTTTCAGGGAAGGTGTCATGTCACGCAATCGAATTTTTCATCGACTAAGAACACCGATGCTTGACACTTTGTAAATTGCACAGCTGCAGCCTCACGGAATGTGTCTTTTTTTAAATTAGAGATTTGCATTATATGGCTAAATGGCACAGTCCTTCCTTTAAATACAGAAGAGGATTTGATCTCATCGCAAACGGAGTGAAGATTCAGCAAGGAACACCACGAAGATGTTCATATTTTCAGCGCATAAACTCCATCATCTGCTACCACTCAAGCAAACACAATTAAGAAAGCAGTGTAATTTTAAGTTGTGGAAAATGTGCACTAATCACGACCGCATTTATTCCATTCATGTCCAATCGGTAGAACTTTTATACGTAGTTTTTTTTTCTCTAAGGGTCAATTTATATGACATAAAATTGTTTTTCAATTACAGCGTATAAAACTTCAAAAACTTTTTGCAAATTTCACGCTGCAAATTTGAATATTTTTCAGTCAACAATCAATATACCTCGAAGAGACTAGAGTGCAACGAAACAAACCACAAGAAACCAAATCGCAGAACAAGCTTGCATGAATCTACAGCACATTCGTGAAAATATCGACATCAACAACAAAGTACGTACTCCTGAGAAGTGTCCTCCGCGGATCTATTTGCCATTTTCAAAGCAATCTATTGAGGCCACTGCATGTGATTCAACCTCCCTCGTCTGACAGCTCCTTTTATAAGAGGAACTCTATTTGGTTCGGCGAACTCGAATTAGATTATGGTTATCTTATGACCTATTGTCTTTCTCGGAAAATTAGCGGAAGAGAAATAGCAGGAGTCTGGAAGCTAGCTAAGTTGGTGACCGCTGACTGAAGTACAGGAGATTTTCAAAGATGGCGCGAAATGTCGGAGAGTGATGTGAACACATCACTATACTAAAATGGTTTGTTAGTCGTTTTAGTTCTCAGTGATAGTCTTTTAACCGGTGTTTTAATTATAATTACATATTTTTCTACAGGATATTCGATCGTTCTTCAGCCCTACTGGAAAGACAGCGAAGCAAGGCGCTTCGAAAGTAGAAAATAAGCGCGGCAAAGATTCTACTGCGAAGTCATTAACGAAACAAGATGTAGGAAAGCGCCGAACGAAAACCAAGGTAAGTAATGGATTATGTAGCATTTGAGAGAGAGAGAGTTATTTGTGTTATCAGGGAATTCGACTTCAGAAGCGACGGAGAAAAGATCTGCCCATATCACAGCCCCTGTCTGACTGAATCGATCATCGTTTGTATCTATACACTCGGGTGCAATTCAAAATCCCAACTATCCTCTCCTGGGGGTGGGGGGGGGGGAGGGGGTGGACACCTTATTTGGCCAAAATTGGTATTTATTGCCATACATGGTAAAATTTTCTTTGTCATGAATCTTTAATTTTGCACATGGTAGGTAATTTTACGACATGTTTTAACCAAGAGTTTCATTCCACTTCATACATCAAACCCAAGGTATCTTTCTGGACTGGAATGTGAGAAATGGTAGATGGTATTGTGTGTTAAGTAACTTTGTTGGTATAATTTTCAATAGTTTATCTGAGTATGTCAGGGTAGCTAAGTGAGGCTGATAAGTTACAATGTTTTGCCTTTTTTTTTCATCCTAAACAGGATTGTAAAATGAAGCAATTTTGTATTCATCCTTTACCTTCTAAGATCTGTTTGCTAATTCTCTCCTCTAGTTGCTTCACATTTCTTTTACATTTGTTATAGGACTTTGTTCTTAGATCAAGATAAAAACTTTTTTTTTTTAATAACCATTTTGTTGGACATTATATACTAGATAGTCTAGGGAGAATTTACATGTTAATCACATCTGGGAGTTTAAGGGTTAAACAGCATGATGTGATACACTGCTACCTAAATTTCACTCAAGTTCAAAATATCTTGGACATTAGCATTCCCTACAAATTTGTTCAAACTGCAGCTTACTAACTCTGCAGAGTAGTTGCAGTATGTAATACTAATGCTTATTTCACGATTTTGACAAGTACTGGTTAATTTTCATTTATTCAGACTGAAGGGAAAATTAAATTGTTGATTAACTTGAAAGGTGATTGATAAAGAAACCTTGAGACTTCACTTAACCCAGACTATTTTTTCCACAAGCCTGGTGTCTTTTTTTGATTTTCTGAGGTGGAAGAAAATGTTTTGTAAGAAAGTTGTGCTGCGAGGAACAACACACCCCTTGATGTTATCCAATTCTGTTTGGTCTTTGTTGTTATCATTAGGTCCAAAGAACCATTATAATCTCACATTTGTATGAATATGTTATTGTTTATTGGCTGGGCAGGGTTTATCAAGTAGTGAAGATGATGACATTGCCCGGAAACAAAAACCAAAAGAAAATCAGAAGAAGAAGAAGAAGAAGAAAGAAAAAAACATTATTGACTCAGGTAATGTTTTAGGATGAACACCAACAGTTTCAAAAGGAACAGATGTTGAGACTCTACACAAACTGTTATACCTCTGTATTAGTTTTAATGGTTTCAATGTACATGTAAGCTAGGTAGTTGTGCTGTACAGTGTCCTTGTCAATTCCACAGCAATTTGCTCTGTTACGGAAACATGGTGTAAAAAGATTCACACAATTATACATAGAACATCACAGTGATCTCCTGACCCTATTTCTAAATTAATCTTACATCTCTGTTAGATTCTGATGAAGATCCTCTTCCCCCAAGAATCAGGTATGTGATTTGTTTCTTGAATTTCTTTTCCCTCTCATACAGTTGTAGTAAAACTTTTGAACTCTAATATCACCCCTGAATCAAGAGTCAAGGATATGATCACCAACTATAAAAGCTCTTGATTATTAAACAAATTCTCCTTGTCAGCAGCTTAGAAAATGCATAGAGAACAGTATGGAGAATATGCATACTGATGTCAGGTTGTATTCAGTACCATGTTCTCTTTCATTCACTTTCAGAAAAGCCACATCAGTAAAGAAGGAAGAGAGTTCAAAAGCTAAGAAAAATAGGAGACCAATCAGCTTGGACTCAGGTAAGGAAATTATGTACGCTTATTGAGGGTACGCGATACTTTTTATGTGAAAGGCGATTGGGAGATTTTATCTTCACAGGAATCATGATAACATCTTTTTAAATTTTTTTTAAAATTTTATAGGATTAACAGCTTTATTAACAGGTTAGAAAGAGTGAAAATATGAATTTGGTATAATTTTTAAATTTTTTTGGTTTTATTTATCTTCAAAATGTGACCATCTTAAATTTCATGTGAATGTGAAAGAATTTAGGATATCGATTTTTTTCATGATGCATGAAAAGGCCTTATATTTTTATGCAGCTGAGTTCTACAAAAGGGTTTGGGGGACTCTCCTTATTGATGGAGTGTGAGGGCTGGATAGGGAAACTATTTAGTGTGAGGTGAGCTTGAGGTAAGATGAGGTCAGCTTTTTTACATCACCTGACCTTTAACCTTGCCTACATGTATGTATTTACTTGCTGAAGAAAACAAAGCCATCTGCTCCATCCAGGGTTCAGCACGCTTACCATTAGACCACTCTGCCTTGAATAGGTTTGAATATTACAGCACTTGAGTTATATTTTGATGTGGT